GAGAAATAGCTTTTCAAATTCAGTGCCAGATTTTAAGTGCAGTCGTTTGGCTCTCAGTTGGTAAAATTAGACTCTTGTTAGAGCTGTGATTTACAAATATCTTCTATTGCATTAGTTGTCTGCATATTCCTCACGCTGACTTCTGATGCACAGCTAGGTTTTGTCTTGGTCTTGTACCCTGAAACTTCACTGAACTCATCTGTTGGCTCCAGAAATTGTCTTGTAGATTCTTTGGGAGTTTCTACATATTGGATTGTGTCACCTGCAAATACAGTAATTTTGTGTCTTTCTTAAACTGGATGACTCTTCACTTCCTTGCCTAATTGCTCTGGCTGGAATGTCCACCCCAATGCCAGTCGGCGGTGGTAGGAACTTCCTTGTCTTGTTCCTGGTCCTTGGCAAGTGAATGGGCCTGCCATGTGTCACCAACAGAGTGTGATGTCAACTGTTTCCTCACAAATACTCTTTGTAGAATTAAAGAAATTATCTTGTGAGTGTTTCTATCCTGACTGGATAGTGGGTGTTTTTGAAATAAAGGTTGTTATTTATTTAAGGGACACAACACAGTAGTTAGATTTATAAATACAAGTTGAAGTGCTTACTGCAGTACGCTAATTAGCGTATCTGTCTCCTCATGTCATAGCTTTGTGTTTGTGTGTGTGTATTATATTTTGTCAACTGCTTTTTCTCTGCAATTTTAGATGATCATGTATTTTTTTCCTCTTTAGTGTGGTAGAGGAGTGGTCTTCAAGAATATTTGTGTTATGGAAAAAGTATGCATATATAAAAGTAAATTTATCTTTTGATTCTATTTTCCACAACTTAAATCCCCATATTACATAGATTTTACTATTCCTGGGATAAATTATTCTTTTATTTTATTACAGTCCTGTGCTAAAATCATTCAACATGCTGTTAGATTCACTTGCTAGTGTTAAGAATTTTTACATCTTTATTACTAAGGGATATTGGAGGATTCTTTAAATGTTAGAATTCACTGTAATAATGCCATTTGGTCATACTTTTTGATTTGGGAAGATTTTTATTCTAGTTCAACCTCATGTGCCTATGCTGAAGTTTTCTGTTTCTTCCTAAGACCATTTTTATAGTATATATGTTTATAGGAATTTGTTCATTTCTCTTATGTTAATTTGTTGAATTATTCTCTTACAATTGCTTTATTTCTGAGATTAGTAATAATGTCTAATGTCTCTCACTTTGTTTTTAAGTCTTACTAAAATTTGTCAAATTTTGTTAATCTTTTCAAAGCAAACACTTTTGGTTTGTTGATTGTATCCTCTTGTTTCATTTCTCTCCACTCTATCTGTTACTTTCTGACATCTTTTGTAATTCTTTCTAGTTTTTAAGATGCACAGTGAGGGTATTGATCTGAGAATGCTTTTTTACTGCAGACTTACTAATAGCTGTGAACTCCCTCTGAGCACTCCTCACGGCACCGCCACCTTTCCAAGTGATTTCTTCCTTGACCTTTTGGCTGTTTAGGAGTGTGTTGTTGAATGTCCACAGACTTGGGAATTTTCCAGTTTTTCTTCTGATTTTCAGCTGCTACTTCTATTTTGGTGAAAGAAAACCCTTTGTCTGATTTCAGTCTCTGAAAATTCGTTTTGTCTGGTGGCCTAGTAAGTTTTCCAACCTGGAGAACTGACATGTATGCTTGAGAAAAATTTGAGTGTGTTGTTGAGTATTCTTCATATGCCTATAGGTCTGGTTGGGATATGCCGTCGTTCAGATCTACTGCATGTTTATTAATCTTCTGTGTAGATGTTATATCCATTATTTAAAGTGGGCTATTGAAATGTTTTTCTTCCATTGTATCAATATTTGATTCATATATTTGGGGGCTCTGCTTGCTGCATATGTAGTTAGTATATCTTCCTCTTGAGCTGATGCTTTCGCCAGTACACATTTACCTTTTGTGATTCTTGAAACCGTTTTTGGCTTCGAGTTGGTTTTGTCTGATGGCAGGGTAACTTTCCCTAAAGCCTTTCAGTCATATTTCTGTGAAATAGCCCTTCTCATCCTTTCACTTGCAGCCTCTGTGTATCTTTTGCTCTATAAAGAGTACCCACCAGAAAACATATAGTTTAAAAAAAAAGATTTATTTATTTTTATTGAAAGGCAGGAATATACAAAGAGGAGGAGAGACAAAGGAGATCTTCCATCCGTTAACTCACTCCTCAAGTGACCACAATGGCCAGAGCTCAGCCTATTCAAAGCCAGGAGCCTGGAGCTTCTTCTGGGTCTCCCATGCCGGTGCAGGGTCCCAGGGTCCTCAGTTGCTTTCCCAAGCCACAAGCAGAGAGCTGGATGGGAAGTGGAGCTGCCGAGATTAGAACCTGTGCCCTTATGGGATCCCAGACTGGCAAGGCAAGGACTTGCTAGGTTACTGTGCAGGGCCCAACATATAGTTTTGATTGTGTATTTTAATCTCATGACATTTTTAAGTTGATTATTGGGAATGAAGAACTTGTGCCTTTTTACTTATCTTAAGTCTTTTTTTCTTCTTAATTCCTCCAATAGTATGCACTTTTGTATTTTTTCCTAATATATGTTTTTGTACCTTCTGATTTCCTCTCTTGTATATATTGAAAACATTTTCATAATGATTCCCACGAAGAGTATGATTAACATTCATAAGATTTTAGCAATCTAGTTTGAACTGGTCTTAGCTTAGTTTCTTTTTTTTTTTCAATTTCATTTATATTCCCAAACTTTACTCCTGTATAACTATCTCCCTCCCTCGTTCTGCTGTTGTCACAAATTAAACCTGTTTGCATTGCGTACTTGCTAACATGAAGGTATAATTCTCGTCTCAGGAATTTTTAGTCATTTAGGAAATAAAATGAGGAAGTTAGAAATCAAAAATACTACACTACTAGCTTTGCTATTCACCTGAGTGGTTACCTTTCCTGGAGTTCTTACTCATGGAGCTTTCAGTTACTGCCTGCCTTTTTTAAACTCAACATGACAACTCTCTTTAGCATTTCCTATAGGGCAGTTGTATCAGCAGCGAGCAGGGCTAACATTTGTTTATCTGGAGCCATCTACCTTTATACTTCATTTTTGCAAGATGTGGCCTCTTGGTTGATACAGGGTTTTTGTCCTACAATATTAGGTATGTCGTCCTGCTGCCTTTCGGTCTGTAGCTTAGCTGAGTGGCTCTAGCTCAGGGGCCCTCACAAGTTTGCAGTCAAAGTCGCTGACCAGAACTACAGACCCTCATGGCCGGAGCTGGGTAATCACGCCCCAGCCCAGCTTGCGGGCATGCCTTGCTTCTCCGGCTGCTGGCCGGAAGCTCGGTTCCTTACCACTTGGTCCTCCTTAGGATGCTGCTTGTTGCCTGGCAGCTGGTTTCCCCCAAGCAGGAGGTTCTTGAGGGCAAGATGCTCCCCTTGAAGTTTTGGTTTTTTATCATACTTCTTGGTGCTCTCTGACAGTTGTGTGCTTATACTCTTCTTGAATGAGAGGCAAAAATGTGAACCCCATGGCAAGGAACTGATCGAGTCCTTCCCAGGGGCATCCCCTCTCAGTGGAAGTGGGAGTGTGAGACTCCCAGGGACCTCCCACAACTTGGTTGGAGCAGCAGACCCTGGTGGTTGACCTTGTCCTGTCCCTCCAACCTCATCCTTGTGGCCTTCACATGCAGAGAGCTGTGAAAATGAATATTTGGCCAGCTAGGGCCTTAGCTGTGTCGCTACAGACAGCTTTCCCATTGGTTTGTTTTATGGAGGAAATGTATTCTTTCTGGTCAGAAACACAGGGGGTGGGGGAGAGAGAAAAGAAGGCAGAACTCCAGTGTTTCTTATGTTGGGTCTTGTTGCTCACTCAAGATCTGTCAGCTCTCTGCTGATCTGTGTGAGATGTCATCCTTGGGACGAAGGATGCCAAAGCAGGAGGTGCGTCAGCCAGCCCCCACTCAGAAGCAGCTTGCGGGATAGAGAGAGTAGCGCAACAGAACATTGACAGCAAAACCAAACCCAGGTCAGCGGTGTTGGCTGCAGCTTGGGGAAGAGACGGGAAGTGGCTGGGAAAAAAAGTGAAAGAGCTTTGTGACTGGGTTGGTGTTTCAGATCTAGCAAAACAGCTCACACAGTATGATGATTTTTGATTTTTGTATAAGACTGAAGGCTTTCACATGAGTCCTGCCCATCAATAATCAGACCATTTCATCCTCTGTTATTCTAGTATGTGGCAATACCATAAGAGAAAAGACCCCACATCATCTTCTCAATTTTGAAAAAGTACGTTAGGCTGGTGTTTACAGGTGTGTATTTGCTGCCGTAAAGTCATCTCAGTATTTACAGGGGACTTTAGGAAATGAACCAGCTCTCAGGTCACGGCAGGAACAGTCATGCAAGCCCAGCCAACCAGTTTGTGACCTGCCATTTATGTGTTCAGCTGCTGATGTAACTGGTGTTTGTGGTGTTGGCATGGATGCCTCTGGACATAGAGGGGGAAGGACTCTCTCATGGCATAGTGCTGCAGGCAGGCTGTAAAGCAAGGGGAGTTCTGCCAGCTCCCTTACGTTGTGCTCGGACTTGTCCTCAAACAGAATGTATACATAATGAGTTCTCAACGTCCCATGGAGGTTCAGCCCCAAGTGGACTGGGATGGACGCGGGAAGAAGGAGCAGGTCTGCTTCTGGAGAGATCCCCACATCTCAGGATACATCGAAATCAGAACACCCTCTGCCTCCTGCTTCATGGGAATTAAGCCACAGGTTTTCTTCCATACAGTCTAGAGCTGTAGTTCATGTTCACTCCAGTATTAAGTAAACTTAATAACTGAAATACAGGGGGGCTTCCCATTTTATGACCCCCACCCCAGCAGGAAGTTCCTAGCTCTGACTCCTTTGTGAATGTGCTCCAAATCTAAGTGTGTGTGCTGTTTTTTCTTAACTGCGCTTAAACTGCTGTGTGTTTTCATCCTTTTTAGTGAAAAAATAAACGCTGAAGTACCTTTTGCTCTTGTTCCCCTAGACAGTTAAATCCCACACGGAAACAGAGGAAAAGCAGACCGAGAGCCGTACCATCACCCCGCCCGCCGCACCCAAACCAAAACGGGAGGAGAACCCTCAGGTAGGGCCCTGTCCGCGAGGCTCGGCGCCACCCTCGGCCAGCAGACCTCTGCCCGCGCTGTCGCTTGGGCTCCCTTGCATCATGCTTCTCCCTTATTCAGCAACAATGGGATTGCCAAGTCAGGCTGGCCGAGGGCAGACCTCTTAGCATATGGTCCTGCATGCGCATGTGTGGCATGTGGGCCTTTCGGTTGTCTGAAAGGCAGAGTTTTGAGCAGGCGTTGTCCAGATTTTCACATGCTGAAAATCTGAAATGTGTCTGACACCATTTTCCCAGTTCTCCTGCCATGTTCCTAATGCTGAGTGTGCTGCGTCCCGGCCAGTGTTGACAAGGTGTCCTGCTTACTCAGCTAATGTCTGCTTATCTTACCGATTACAGCTGTTAAATGTGCATTGTTACTACCTTTGTATTATATTAGAACCCCATATCTCAAATGAATTAGCTCCAAAAGAGTTCACTGAAACATGCAAGTAGGTGGGGGGGAGGCATTGTGGCACAGTGCGCTAAACCACCACTTAGGATAGCCACATCCCTTAGGGCCTGAATGATCTCCACTTCCAATCCAGCTTCCTATTCAATGCACCTGGGAGGCGGTAGGTGGCCTGGTCCTTGCCGCCCACATAAAGGACCTGGTTGGAGTTTCTGGCTGCTGTCTTTGGGCCTGATTCAGCTGTTTTAGGCATGTGGAAAGTATGAGACAGCAGATGGAAGATATTTTTAAATCTCTCTCTACCTTTCAAATAATTCAGAGTGAATTTTAATATCTTTTTAACAGTAGGGCTAAGGGGCGGACATTTAGCCAGGCGGTGAAGTGGCCAGTTAGGACACCTGTGGCTCATATCGGGGTAGGTAACCTGGATATGAAGCCCACTCTAGTTCCTGACTCCAGGTTTCACTCATGCAAACTCTGGGAGACAGTAGGGATAACTTTAGCAGCTGGGTCCCTTAGCACTCATGGGAAAGACCTTCATTAAATTCCCGGTTCCTAACTGGGCTGGCCCAGCTCTAGTGGCTGTAGGCAACTGGGGAGTAAACCAGAACGTGAAAGGCCGTGTCTCTCTCTCTCCACCTCTTACATAAGTAATTTTTAAAGGAAGAAATGAAAATAGCCTCTGTCTATAGCGCAGTTTACATAGAATCATACACATAATAGCAGGTAAGATCTCCACACAAATAGAGACTGTGAGGCTGTTGGTCCTTAGACAAGAGAACATTTTAGTTTGATGCTTTTTCACAAGCAACCATAGAAGAAAGATGTGGACAGGTAATAGGATGATGACTATCTGATGGTTGGATTTTATTAGCCCAGTAATCTATTTCCCTCTATTCTCGGTGCATTCGTGTAATGAAACCATGTCAAGTAGTAGCAGGAAGCTATCAAAACCTCATGTCATTTTTTTAAAGCAGCGGTTTATTGAGCAAGTCTAGGTTTTTCTAAAACAAGTACGAAATGTAATTCTTTCTGATACGAAATGAATTTTTACTTTTATCTTTAAAGAAGGAATCAACACTCGAACCATAGAGGTGCTAGTCACACAGCTTTCTGAGAAACTCCTAAAATCCTCCATGAAACTAGTGACACATTTGCAGCTGGAAGAGTAGAACAAACTCTTGGCAGAATTTCCTTATCAAGGGAAACTGACAGATATCTGATGTTAGTGAGGCAGCGAGGACAAGCAGGGACCATCAGGGAGAGTGACAGAAGGGTCACCTTCACATTGGAACTGTCATCACCTTTGTGAAAGGACTGAATCAGCTCATATGTTTGTGGGGGGGGGGGTGACAAACTTGTTGACAACTGTCATTCCACAAGGAAAGTTTTGTTTTTGTTTTGCTTTTCACTAAATATGTTGTGAACTTGATCTAAACTGGCAAAGGTGACTTGGATGTGGAGGGCTGGAAAGGGTGCTGGTGCTCAGTACCAAGGGTGCCTTTGAATGCCTTTGAATGCCAGTCCCCATGCTGCAGTACTCCAGTCCTCACACCACAGTACTCTAGTCCCCACACCACAGTACTCCAGTCCTCACACCACAGTACCTCAGTCCCCACACCACAGTACTTCAGTCCCCACACCACAGTACCACAGTCCTCACACCACAGTACCTCAGTCCTCACACCACAGTACTCCAGTCCCCACACCACAGTACTCCAGTCCTCACACCACAGTACTCCAGTCCTCATACCACAGTACTCCAGTCCTCACACCACAGTACTCCAGTCCTCACACCACAGTACTCCAATCCTCACACCACAGTACTCCAGTCCTCATACCACAGTACTCCAGTCCCCACACCACAGTACTCCAGTCCCCACACCACAGTACTCCAGTCCTCATACCACAGTACTCCAGTCCCCACACCACAGTACCTCAGTCCCCACACCACAGTACTCCAGTCCCCACACCACAGTACTCCAGTCCCCACACCACAGTACTCCAGTCCTCACACCACAGTACTCCAGTCCTCATACCACAGTACTCCAGTCCCCACACCACAGTACCACAGTCCTCACACCACAGTACTCCAGTCCTCATACCACAGTACTCCAGTTCCCACACCACAGTACTCCAGTCCTCACACCACAGTACTCCAGTCCTCATACCACAGTACTCCAGTCCTCACACCACAGTACTCCAGTCCCCACACCACAGTACTCCAGTCCCCACACCACAGTACTAGTAGAGAAGCCGAGGGCCAGCCTGGGATCTGGCTCTGTTGTGAAGGAATGTTCAGACGCAGGCGTGCAGTCCGTTGGGAGCCAGGGAATGTATCTCATCTGTGTGCAATGTAGAAAGTGGGTGGTGAGGCCAAGTCTGCTTTGCTCCAATCAGAGTATTCTGGCTATCAATGGATGGGTGCCCACTTGTGTTTTTAAAATAAAAAAGGTTTACTTGGGATTCTGAAGATTGTAGTCAAGGGCGTTTCTGTGTCCTTACTCGTCTGAGGGTCTTGAATAGGCCAGCCCCATCATCCAAGGCCCAGCAGCAGAATAGTTGATATTGAAGCTAAAGACATAGCTGACATTAAGAACTCTACACAAGGATGTCTCTTATCAGCTATGATGATATTTGCTCATTGCAGAAAGAGGTGGACGATGCATTATTGCATAATTAGAAGCCACATGCAGTCGGGGCCTGGAGAGTGAAGGTGTGTTTTTCACATCACATGTGACCAAAGAGCAGAGCAAAAATGAGTCTTTTACTCCGTCCACTCTGGGGCACAGTATTCAAATCCACCACCTCCTCTGGAGCTCTGAAGGGAGTCTTCAGAAAGAAATCACTCCATCATCTTTCATCTGTGTTTGTTTGCAAAATCACAGTGTTAAGCAGAACCACATGCTCTCGTTCCTGGGCATCATTTAGCTCTGAGTGGACATTTCCCCATCAATAGCAGGAAAGGTGCGGGCAACCCTGACCTTGTTAGAGATCAGCAAAGCACGTGGAATTTGGAGCTTGTCATATGGGAGGCTCTTTAAGAACCCTCTGCACGTTTTTGGTTATAAATCCTCTTCCCTTTAAGAAGATTTTGTCCCTTTTATGGAGAACATTGGCAACAATGTTAAGAGGATTTTTCAAGAAGTGGGGCAGGTCTCAAGTCATTGAAGGTTGGTGACTTCTGTTGTAGAGGACACAGGCAGATGCAGGCCCCAGTCGTCCTTCGTGGCCTCGTTAGACCAGAGGTCCCCTGGAGTGGTTCTGAGGCCACCTAGGGGAGCAGAGGCCTGCTCTCGGCTTATCTGAACCCAGCCTCATGTAAGGCACCTCCCATGGGGCTGGCTTCCCCGGTGTCTGACTGGGAACTGCAGCTGGCTTTGTGGGAACCCAGACTGAAGTCTGTTCTTCTTTTGTCTCTCTGACACAGAAACTTGCCTTCATGGTGTCTCTAGGGTTGGTAACACATGACCATCTAGAAGGTAAGCGAAGAGATTCTTGGCGTTGCCTTCTTTCTGGCCCACAGCTTTGTTCCTGAAAATGGTGTTTGATTGAATTCCTAGAACAGAAAATTGGAACACAAATAGAGTATGATTCAAGCAGTGTGGACTTTGTTTCCTTTAGAGGAAAATTACCTGCCTGCTGTCTACTGTTTAGGCCCTCCCCTTTCTACCATGGTCAGCCTCATGGATCCCAGGGGCCTGAACGAAAGTGACTTCTGTTCACTTGAGAAAAACCATTTTGTTTTGTTTTGTTTTCATTTCATTCCCTTTTATTTTTTTTCTGAAAGTACCAAATGGTGCTTGACTGAGAAGTCTTTCTCTGTATTTCTCAGTTGTTCCAGAGGGTCAGCATCCTAAGCCCAGTTATAAGGCTCCGCCTGTCCTGGTTGCTCAGTTCAAGAGTGAACTGTGGTTATGTAGCCCAAGTCTGTGGATAGACTCCACCAGGTGTCGATAATAGATCAGTTGGTTCGAAAGTGTGTTCCATTGATACTCTCTGAGCTGCAGAGTCTCACTGTGAGGCAGGGGGTCTTGATTTCCAAAAGGTGTGGGTGAGAGGTTGCACCTGTGTGTGGCCAGCCAACGCTGCTGCCACATGTCAGCCAGCTGCTCTTCCTGATGTGTTGTGGGAAAGCAACAGAGAAGAAAATGTAGTTAAGCTTTTCAGCTCCTCGAGAGTTCTCTTTTAACTCAAACTTTTTCTTTTCCCAAGAAATCCAAAGCAAGAGGCAAGAGCGAAAAAGAAGAACCACAGCAAATCCGGTCTACAGCGGGGCCGTGTTTGAGCCAGAGGTAGTCCTGGTGGCCTGTGGCCCCTCCCTCTCCATTCCGGTTTTACTTGGGAATGGCTCAGTGCCTCCTGTCTGAGAACGTGCACCCTAGTTGTACTTGCATGACTCCTTGAAGTGGCGGCGTTTTCTCTCATTCATCACATTGTTTAGTCTCTATTATCCACCACTCACTCCCTAGGATTTCTTTCTGACTTAACAACCGTAAGCTTGTCTTATAATTTTCATTCATCCTGACCTTAAACACAGCTGTCATCTACAGCAAAGGCAGAGCTCTCTGGAATATTCTCGGAGAGCCTAGCGCTCGTACTAAAATGCTGTAGCACTGAGACCAGGAGGTGATCTGCACTATCTAGTTGGCATGTTGACAGGCATGTTGCACGTGGTCTTTAGCTGTGACAGTATCAGTGGTGACCCTGCCCTTCAACCAGTCACCTTTCCTTCTTCACTCCTCAAAGCGTAAGAAGAGTGCCGTCACATACCTGAACAGCACAATGCATCCTGGGACCCGGAAGAGAGGTGAGTCCCTTTGGGTATCTCTCCTTTGCTGTTTGCTGTTGCTTTTGCCTTCCGTGTTGTGTGTCTTCTCCCTCTCTCTCCTCCCATTGCCCTGGAACTAAAATTCCTCTATCCCTCAAGAATAGTTATGCTGTTACTCTCTGAGATTGGGGTCTGGGGGGTTAGGAGGAGTGAGATTTCTCCCTAGGGTTCTCCGTGCGGTGCGCAGTCAAAAGCTGACTCAGGAGAAGGGCTTAGTCCTACAGGCCGTTGTGCCCCAAGTCGGCCAGGCTGTCCGTGAATAGCACAGAGAACAGAACACCATGTAAAGGAAGCGTCTGAGCATTATTAAGCATAACAGAGCACACTGCCGTTGCCAAGGTGCTGCTAATAGTGTCTCAGTCGTCCTGCTGCCTGGAGTGTGACTTGAAGTTTCTGTGAGTGGCAGATTTCCAGGAGGAGAGAGCTGAGGGCACATGAAAAGAGGGTACAGAAGAGGTCACGGTCAAAACAGGCTCCCAGAAGCAGAAGTTCCTGAAGTGCGCCACTCCCAGCCTTCAGACCTTCTCCTTGCGGGCATGCCTCCCTTCTCTTAGAACAAAAAAAAAATACAGCAGCAGCTCTGGCCATGCAGATCTAAATAGGTCTTAATAGCTGAAGGTTTGAGCACATAAACAAGGTACTGAAATTGTTCCTTGATGTCAGCAATACGTCCCAAGGTCCCTTTCTCCACACGGTAATGTGTCCCTGAATTATAGTTCTAGGCTGGCGAGGTTGTAGTGCGAGTGGAGTAGCATACTAATGTTTGCACATGCACACTTGGCATCAGAGCTGAATGGAGGAGGTCATCGCGCCCCTTACCTGCTTCAGGCAGGACCACAGCCACATCGTTATCTTCCCTCCCTGGCATAAAGAGTGCCAGCCCACCCTTAGTGACCCATTGCGATGATTCCTCAGTCCTGTCCTTTAAGTAGCCACTGATATTTGATGGGAAACTCTTTAAGTGATTGCTTTATGTTGATTGCTGGGCCACAGTAAGCAGTCTGTAGGTTATTTTCACGTCGTTTCGTTTTTGGTTCAGGGAGTTTGCTGGGGTTTTTTGTTTTTTTTTTTTTTTTTAAGTGAGCTCTGATGCTGCAGTCCTCAGAAAGTACCACCCGCCCCCCACTCCCACCCCCCACTCACCACCCAGCCCGAGGCCACAATTAATTGGGCTGCTGATGGGCAGCAGTGCTAGGAAGACACGGATCAGATGAGCCAGAAAGACCTTGGCATCTCTTACCAAGGTCAGGATAAAAACCTGCATTTGCAATCCTTGGCTGTGCTCTCTGTAGGTAAACACAGAACATTCACTTTATGCTGCCCCTCCAGCAGCAGTGAATTCCCCAGCAAAAACACACCAGTGACATCTGTTTTTGTGTCATCGTAGATATTGTCAGTTTAGCATAGGTAGTATTTGTGTAATGCCTGACCAAACCATGGCTCCCTTGCCCCATCCTGATACAGCTTCTGACTGTTGGCAGAGTTAATGGGCCCACACACCACTCACCAGTGCTGACAGTTGAATACCCTTCTGGCTCTTTTTTTTCCCCCCTGGAGTGCTGGGCTTGCCCCTAGGGTCACTCATAGTTTAGAAGCTCTGACCCTGCTCCTTAGAAGACAAAGCCCTGACTTTTAAGCCGTAATTAGCCTGGACTCTGCACCCAGAGCGCTGACTTTTAAATCCTTTTCACATAGAAGTTTGATTTAAGATGGTCTAGCTGAAACCATCTCTCAGGGAGAGCTTTAGTTTTTTTTGTTGTTGTTGTTGTTGTTGTTCTGTTTTGTTTTTTGTTTGTTTATTCAAATATTTATTTATTTTTATTGGAGAGAAAGATCTTCCATCTGCTGGTTCACTTCCCAAATGGCCACAAAACTGGAGCTCAGCTGATCTGAAGCCAGGAGCTTCCTCCAGGTCTCTTCATGCAGATGCAGGATCCCAAGGCTTTGGGCCGTCCTCAACTGCTTTCCCTGGCCACGAGCAGGGAGCTGGATGGGAAGTGGAGCAGCCAGGACACAAATCAGTGTCCGTATGGAATGCTGGCAGATGCAGGTGGAAAATTAGGCAGTTGCGCCATCATGCCAGCCCCAGAGCCTTGGTTCTTAGGTTGGAAGTTTATCAGCATCATTGTGATGGATAAAGGGAAAACGTCTGAATTAACTGGAGAGGGTCTCTGGAACCAAAAATAGTTAAAATCATTGTGAAGGCCAGAACGTGTTAACACTAGCATCCAGGAGTAAGAATCTCTAATTTGAGTTTTGCCTCTCACCAGCAGTGAAGTGACTGAGTTATGAATAGGAGAGATAGGAGAGGCAGAAATCCTAATTGAATTGGTTTGAGAGAACTAAGAATCTATATTTTTTGTAACATGATTATAGAAAAATCATCTAGCACAGTAATGCGAAAGATAGAGGGGAAAAATGAATAACTTATTTTTACAGCTCCCATTGGGCTGTGACATCTTGCTTCTTGCACTGAAAGTTTCACATTAAGGTAATCTGGAGACCTGCTCAAATCTGCCCCTGAGTGAGGTGTTCCCCTCTTGACCAGCACTTTCTGTCTTCCTCTAAGGCTCTCCTAGCCTCCCTTTCAGTGTCCGTGGTTTTTTGTTTGGTTTTGTTTCTATTAACGTTGAAATCTTTGCTTCTCTTCCTTCCTTTGAGACTGTTGTATTAACCTTCTGTCTGCCCCCTCACTTCCTTTTCCATGCTAGCCAATGAGGAACACTGGCCAAAGGTATGTAAGATCATTTTCCCTTTCTTTCCCTCCCCCTCTCCCCTTTTGTTCCCTTCTCTTGGTATATAGGTCGTCCTCCAAAATACAATGCAGTGCTGGGGTTTGGAGCCCTTACCCCAACATCCCCCCCATCCAGTCATCCTGACTCCCCCGAAAGTGAAAAGACAGAGACCACATTCACTTTCCCTGCACCTGTCCAGCCTGTGTCCCTGCCCAGCCCCACCTCCACAGACGTAAGTAACGTGGGAAAGTGTGCGCTCTTTGTGAGAGCTGGAATCGGGAACTCCATTACCCCGTACCCCTGTTGTCTCCTCACTAACCCCCAGCAGAATGCTGTCTCCTGGGGACCCAGGCCTTGCCAGCAGGAGGCATCACACCACCAGCAGTGCAGGCCGTGCGCTCCTGAGCCCTGGCGCTCCTGAGCCGGCCTGACCTGCGGGGACTAAAGCCCAGGGCAGGGTGGTGTGGGGAAGCCAGCTCGCATAGTTGACAGGTGTGCAGGGCCTGGTCACTCATGTGTGTGACTAGAGGAATGGCAAAGGCATCCGTGCTGTGCGTGCTGCATCCTGCACAGTTTTGAAAATTGGAGATTCTCTTTAAAACATCTTTATTCAGCAGAGTGGATCGGGGACAGGTTCCTGAGAGAGTGCTGAATTCTCATCAGCCTTTGCCAGGGACAGCAGGGCTGTGAGCTAACACAGTGAGGTCCACACACCCAGCCAGCAGGCAGAGGAACAAGCAGAGACCTCCCTGCCCTCCAGGAGGGGCTCCTGGTCCAGGGAGAGGCAGACGATAAGGGAGTGACTGTATCACACATCAGGTGGTGAGCAGTGGCATGAAGCCAGATGAACAGGCTGGGGGCCCAGGTGAGATGGCAGGAGGCTGCCGTGGTGTGGAGAGTGGTGAGATAAGTCCATTCAGCAACTGCAGAAGAGGCTTCCCCGTGCAGGGAGCGACCATGTAAAGGCCCTGGAGTGCACATGTCTGACCCTAAGAAAGGGCAGGCTGGAGGCAAATGAGACCCAGAAGTGGCAGAGTTGGACCTACGGGGCTTTGAGCCTTTATTCTAAGAAAAAGAGGTGACACCTGGAAGGTTTCCACTGAAGGACTCAGTGATTCTTCAATTTTTATTTTGAAAATTTTCAGATCTGTAGAAAAGCTGTGGTAATAGTTTAAAGAGCAAATCTATACTCTTTACCTAGGTTTCCTAGTTAACATTTTGCCATGTATTTGCCTCTCTCTCTGAACAAATACATTCACACGCGTGTGTAAATACACACACATGCACACACACACTGACACTCCTTGTTTGCCGAACCATCAAGATGGTTTTGCAGACCTCATAGATTTTTTTTTTTAAGATTTATTTATTCTTATTACAAAGTCAGATATACAGAGAAGAGGAGAGACAGAGAGAAAGATCTTCTGTCCGATGATTCACTCCCCAAGTGAGCACAACGGCCGGTGCTGTGCCGATCTGAAGCCAGGATCCAGGAATCTCTTCCAGGTCTCCCACGCGGGTGCAGAGTCCCAAGGCTTTGGCCCATCCTCGACTGCTTTCCCAGGCCACAAGCAGGGAGCTGGATGGGAAGTGGAGCTGCTGGGATTAAAACAGGCGCCCATATGGGATCCCAGTGCATTCAAGGCGAGGACTTTAGCCGCTAGGCCATTCCGCAGGGCCCTGATCTTTTTTTGTTTTTTAAGTTTTATTTATTTTTATTGGAAAATCAGATATACAGAGAGGAGGAGAGACAGAGAGGAAGATCTTCTGTCTGATGGTTCACTCCCCAAGTGGCCGCAGTGGCTGGAACTAAGCCAATCCAAAGCCAGGAGTCAGAAGTTCTTCCTCCAGGTCTCTTGTACAGATGCAGGATCCCAAGGCCTTGGGCTGTCCTTGACTGCTTTCTCAGGCCACAAGCAGAGAGTTGGATGGGAAGTGGGGCCACCGGGATTAGAACCAGTGCCCATACGGGATCCTGGCACATTCAAGGCGAAGACTTTAGCTGCTATGCTGTTGCGCCGGGCCCATGGATCTTTACCCTGAAACATTTTGGTGTCTGTCTCTGAAGAACAATGATATTACCATGTATCACCACAATACGTGTGCATTTACCAAATTGAATCATGCTAACATATTTGCACATAGCATCATCCAGTCCATTATCCATTATCCAGTTATCCCAGCAATTACTTTTGTGACGCTACTTTTTCTGCTCCAGGTCTGACCCAAGGCCATTCTTGACCTTTCTGTCATGATGGTGTCTGTGCAGTTGCCTTGACTGCACAGCAGCTCAGTGTCTCTGTCTTGTTTCACATGGACACAATCGCTGCGTGGAGTGCCTGTCTCCCTGAACTGTGTGAGTGAGGGTGTGTGTGTGGCCACACTCAGTAGGTGCTGAGGGGTCCTTCTCTGTGCATAACGACAGGTACGTGGTCTGAGTTGGTGCCACCATGCGGGTCGTTATCCACCTCCCGTGGGAGTTTCCATCCAGATCATCCAGATGGTCCCCTTTTCCTCTGGCGAAGAGAACTTTGAGTCTGAGTGAGCAGCTAGTCTCCCAGCACACTGTCAGCCATGGATTCCCTGTCATTTGATGAGTCTTACCTGTGTTCATTACTTTTAAGCCATTTGCTTAAAAGATGGACTGAGGTTTTGGCAGGCTGACATTATCTGAACTTCAGAGAGGGTACTGTGAAGGAGTAGGGGGGAAGCAAATCATGCAGGCAGGGATGCTCTGACACCTTGGCCTGATGAGGAGGTGGCAGCAGACAGAGATGGGGAAAAGCATGTTTACAAATGAGGTGTCAGGGGCAGGTGTGGTAGCATAGCATGCTAAGCTCCTGTTTTCTGTACCAGAGTGCCTGATTTGAATCCTGCCTCTGCTTCTGATCCAGCTTCCTACCCATGTGCTGGGAAGGCAGCAAGTGATGAGCTGAGCAGTTGGGATCATGCCAGCCATGTGGAGACCCAAATGGAGTTCCTGGCTCCAGGAATTGGCCTGACCCAGCTCTGACTATTGTGGACATTTGTGAATGAGCAACAGATAAAATCCATCTCTGTGATTTCCTCTCTGTCATGTTGCCTTTCAAATAAATAAGCAAAGCTTTAAAAAAATATGTGAAATGAAAAGTCTGTGACCTAAACCACTCCAGGAGGATGAAGCTGTCATTACTAGGAGGAACAGGTGGTGGGGGTGGGGAAGGATCGAGCATTGAGTTTTGCGCATGTCCCAGTTCTTTGATGAGTCTTTGTCCATCTTCAGATAAAACGTCCCTTGAATCCAATGGCTCTCAGAGCTCGCTGGTGACTCACCCCCTCTCCAAAGAGCAAGGGTGTCCCTGAGGACACCCTGAGCGACAGTCCGAGGCAGTGAATAAGGTTGAGCCTTGAGAGGCCGAGGGCCTAGAAGAGTTACGTTCTGGCCTCCTTCCTGCCGTGGGCACGTGCCGGAGCAGCCATATCCTGCGTGTTTCCCAGCATTGGCCTTAACCATGGCTGCCGTTCTGTAGTGAGTGCCCGGAGTGCCCTGCGCAAGCCTGGCCTGCTGGCACGGAACACCATCCCCGCTCCCCTCCCTGAACTCCTCAGCTTCCTGGCCAGGCACCCCCTCCCCGGGTGTTATGCAATGCTCCCTCCTATGCCACTCTGCTACGCAGTGCCAACTTGTGTCTGGGTGTTTGTTTTGTTTTTATTTTTTTCATTGAGAAAGTTTTGAGCGACTGAACCCAGAAGGACCCATTCAGATCAAATCCCAAACTGAAAATTCCCGACAGGTTTGATCTTAAAATTAAAGCATTGTTCATTTCAGAAGTCTAAAGGGAAAAGAAAACTTCCTGAGTTATGCCCAGGATAGAGACAATGACTTGCCCTTTAACAGCGTACGCATCTCTGTGTGTGTTGCTGAGCCTAAGCCCCAGGTGCTGAAAGCGTATTTCATGAAAAGTGTGTCCTCCACTCCGAGCCAAGGTCTTGGACTGGTCATCTCTCAGCTTCCTGTTGTGTGATCGGAGCATGTGGCCAGTCAGTGAGGCCCAAGCCTGCCCACCATGGGGCTCCTCCCCTAGCGTGCCGAGTGGAGGAGGAACCTTGGCAGTGTGCGTCCGTGCCTCAGGTCTGCAGAAAAAGTGTGGCCTGAGGGTTGCAATTCCCCAGGGAATTGTAAAAACATTTTTTTTAAGATTTACTTATTTTTATTGGAAAAGGCAGATTACAAGGAGAAGGAGAGACAGAAAAAGATCTTCCATCCAATGGTTCACTCCCCAAGCAACTGCAACGGCCAGTGCTATGCTGATCTGAAGCCAGGAGCCAGGAACTTCCTCCAGGTCTCCCATGCGGGTGCAGGGTCCTAAGGCTTTGGCCCATCCTTAACTGCTTTCCCAGGCCACAGGCAGGGAGCCGGAGGGGAAGTGGAGCTGCTGGGATTAAAACAGGCGCCCATATGGGATCCCGGTGCATTCAAGGCATGGATTTAAGCGTAAGGCTATTGCAGTGGGCCCAGAGGGTTGTAAAATTAATACGGTATCATCTGCCAATCTCCCTGCCCCGGTTCCAAACAAACCACATTTCCCAAATCCTGCCTGGGGTGTGATGGTGTTGTCACTGATAACTAATTGAATGCGAACTTGAATGTTATTTATTTGGAGTCTAAAATTCCGTGTACTGTTTCTGTGACTTTCTGTAACTATTTCAAAAACTTAAGGTTTTTAAGCTTCTGCAACAGCAAATGTGCACACATGGAACTTGTGTGAACGGAAACTGGGTGGGGCCTTGTTAATGCTGAGAGTATGTAGGCTGCCTGATGCAGGAACCTCAGGACCTGTGTCACAGGCCACATATACGGAAAGGAAGCTTCCTTTCCTTTAGGGCTGCAGGGAAGCTGTTGAATCTTACTCCTTGACCTCTGTGTCTCTGGGTTTCTCCCACTCAGACCCCTCAGAGTGCAATATCCAGTTTGTCTCTTTTTCCTCATTGCTGATCATTTTATCTGTGCTTCATGCTGAACAGTTTGCAGTACCATGAGTTTTTTAAAAGCTTCCTAGAGATGCCGACTGAGAAGTGGGGACTCCAGTTCTAGAAAGAGCAACTGTCTGAGACTGTCGGGCACCTGCTACCCGAGTTTAATTAACTGGGCGGGCTTCCAGCGTGGCAGTTAGGGTACTGCTCAGGTCACCCAGATCCCACATCGGAACACTGACTCTGCTGCCAAGCCTAGCACCCCACTGTTGTGTACCCTGTAGAGGCAGTAGGTGAGGGCTCAAGTTCTTGGGTCTCTGCCATCCATGTGAGAAACCAGGATTGAGTTAAGGCCTCCTGGCTTCAGCCGCACCCAGCCCTGGCTGTGAGGGCATCCAGGGAGTGAACTGGGAGGTAGAATATCTCGTTTTATCTTCTCTGTCTTTAAAATAAATACAAAATGCTTAAGTGGAATTGCATGTATTTTTCCCTTTTTCCTAAGGAGTGTTGGGCTGCAGGCCCCTTGTGAGTGGGCTGCTGAGCACTGAGCCTGGAAGCTGCCACTGCCCCCAGTTGGCCAGGTCACCTGCACGGCAGAGCAGTCATTCTTAGGGTGCCGACAGGTCCTCAGCTTATCTGCAAGGCAGCAGTACAACTTGGAAACAGTGCCTTTTCCACGTGTGTACATGTGCTCTACGCCTTTTTACTGCCCAGAGTTAATTTTTCTTTTCAAGGAAAATGAAAATTCACCCACTGTAGGATGTACCATACAACTTCTCGCAACCTGTTTTCTAGGCAAATTATAAAATTGTCTTTGCTTTAGAGATAGACTGTAGGGCCAAGGGGGCTGCTGCTTCGGTGGTGGTGGTGGTAGAGGCGGCAACTGGACGTTGCTCTCTGTCGTGTCATTCCCCGCGCGAGGCCCTGTGGCAGAATAGCCTGGAAGCGTTTGCTTGCTGGGGGCCTCGGGCCTGTCCTTCTCTTCCCTCCCCAGGTAGCCTTTCCCAAGGACAGGCTGGAGAGGACTTGGTGACGCACAGCTCTTTTTCTTGGTGTGTCTTCTCCACATTCTGCAGCAGACTGACCTTGGTGCTGAGTCTGTCTCAGATGGGGCGGAGGAGAACCAGGCTGGGCCAGCATGATGCATTTCCTAGGGAGGAAGAGAGTCCTGGAACAAAATGGCCCATGGAACGAGAACGTCGGAGCCTGACTCTGAGAGGGCACTGTCAGCTGTTGCTTTGGCTTTTCAGATCCTTCATGTTAGAAAGCTCGTACGAGTTTAATTTGCTCCTGACTTAATCTTTTCACCAACTTAACACTATATATATATTTTTTCTTCTCCCCGAACAAGGAGCTTAGTAAAATTCCATTTCTCACCTGTCTTTCCCAGTCCTCCCAGCTGCCCCCAGAAATGATAGGTAATGAGAACTGCTTGTATCATACTGTAAAACACTTTGATGAGTGGATTGCTGTGCCTGTCACATTTCTGGCCCGGGGGTTGGACTTTACCAAAATAGCGTAAATACCGAGCTGTCCCCTCTAAAGTGAATTCAGCCCTGGTCCAGTACACTCTAGTGTGAAATGAAGCATACTGCTCCCACCTGGTGCTCCGCTCACAGAGCAGGTGGGAGCGTTGGTCCTGCTCTTGATGCTCCTGTGACGTGCTGGAGGGGCAGCTGTCACACCACTGTTATGCAACCAGGTGCACAGCTTAACACTCAAACGTTACATTTTTTTCTCGCTTTTCTTGCCTTCCCCACCCATTCGTAGGGTGATATCCACGAGGACTTTTGCAGTGTGTGCAGAAAAAGTGGCCAGTTACTGATGTGCGACACGTGTTCCCGTGTGTATCACCTGGACTGTTTAGAGCCTCCACTGAAAACCATTCCCAAGGGCATGTGGATCTGCCCCCGATGTCAGGACCAGGTAAGGCGGTAGGCGGGTTGGCCAGGTGCGCGGGAGGAGTGGATGTGCCCCTGATGTCAGGACCAGGTGTGGTGGTGGACAAGTCTGCCAGGTGCAAGAGGAGGAGCGGGCCAGTGCCACAGGGAGGCCTTCCTTCCCCTTAGAGTCTAGTGGAGGCAGAATCGCCCTCTCCCCCCACGGTTGTTCAGGACAGCACTCGCATGTACAACTTTAGTTCCTGCAGAGGTTTTCTCTCCTGCTACCATTGTTCTTTTTTTTTTAAATATTTATTATTTTTTTATTGGAAAGGCGGATATACAGAGAGGAGAGACAGAGAGGAAGATCTTCCGTCCGATGATTCACTCCCCAAGTGAGCACAACGGGCCGATACTATGCCGATCCGAAGCCAGGAGCTTCTTCCGGGTCTCCCACGCGGGTGCAGGGTCCCAAAGCTTTGGGCCGTCCTCGACTGCCTTCCTGGGCCACAGGCAGGGAGCTGGAAGGGAAGTGGGGCTGCCGGGATAGAACCGGCGCCCATATGGGATCCCGGGCGCGCAAGGCGAGGACCTTAACCACTGCGCCACTGTGCTGGGCCCATCCTGCTACCATTGTTTTTACGCTGCCTTTCTGTATTTGAAATGGCTGGCCGTACACTTTATTTTTTTTTTAAGATTTATTTTTATTGGAAAGGGAGATTTACAGAGAGAAAGAGAGATCTTCCATTCACTGGTCCATCCCCCAGATGGCCCCACAGCTGGAGCTGAGCCGATCTGAAGCTGAGGTAGTCTTCCACATGAGTGCAGGGTGCCAATGACGTCAGCCATCCTTCACTGCTTTCCCAGGCCATAAGCAGAGAGCTGGAGCACCTGGGACACAAACCAGTGCCCATACAGGATGCCCGTGCCATGGGGTGAAGGATTAGCTTGCTGTGCCAACATACCATCCCCATCTTAGCTTGCACTGTAAGACAAGACACTGGTGCACTCATTTTTGGAAAAGATGTTAACTGCTGCATCCCATGTGCCAGGTTTGAGGCCTGTCTCTGCTGCTGATAGCTCAAGTGCTTAGGTCCGCTGCCACTCCCATGGGAGACCCACATGGAGTTCCCAGATGCTGGCCTCCACCTGGCCTTACCTGGGCAGTTGTGGACATCTGGCAGGTGAACCAACAGATCTGGGATCTCTATTCTATGTCATGTTCTCTCCCTCTCTATCTTTCTAATAAAGTGGAAAAATAAAAAGCCCTGACTCATTTCATTCTCTCTCATTCTCTAAGAAGTCAAAATCCAGTATATGATGTTAAAATGCTTCTGTAGAAATAAAATTCCTGTACAAAATTGTACCACAAAATTCAAAATAAAAATATATTTATAAAAAAAATAAAATCCCTAAAGGAAAATAGCCAGTTTGATGAACTCAAATATTATGCAGTGCACTTTTAAGTTCTGTTGAAAGCAGGCTCTGAGAGCTGACTGTGAAATGCTATCTTGACATTCATGGACTTAAAAAGACAAGCATCAGTGACTGTCCCGGCTCCCTAGGTGTTGTTTCCAGCCCCCTTTTCTCAGCTACCCACATATCTCTTTATGATATGCCTTTACTGTAATGTGTTTCAAGGTAGACAGAGTGTAAATAATAAATTAGCAGTGGCCCAACGGCCATTGGGCTTCTGCTCAGCTGCTGGAATCCCCATCCCACTGTCTCCTGGGAGAGTAAACTCTTCTCCTCTGGTGGTGCTTGGCGACCCCCTGGCACTCTTCTACGCAAGGTCTAGGCTCTGCATTGGTGCCAACAACTGAGGCTTGGTGAAGGTGACTTTGGGGGACATGCAAAGCTGGAATTGGGACAGGTATCTCTTGTCGAAGCAGGTGCAGAACCTTGCCTGTCAGAGCCACCATCGTATCACGCTGGAGAGCAGCCGCTGTCAGAGAGTTTCACCGCTGCCCAGCAGGGGTGGGGCTGGTAGGCGTTGTAGAACAGCAAGGCTGCTCACCCAGGTCCCAGGCTGGGCAGGTCGTTAAGCCTGCCCTCCAGAGTACTGCTGCTGCTGTAGGCCCTTGGTAGAATTTGCCTACCAGCTGCTCTCGGCCCTGCTACCTGCTGCTACTGAGAGCATGTGTGGGTTTCTGCCTCCTTCCCAAGATTAACTTTTGTAAACCTTTTCAGATGCTGAAAAAGGAAGAAGCAATCCCGTGGCCTGGAACCTTAGCTATTGTGCATTCCTATATCGCCTACAAAGCAGGTAAAGAAGTACCCATTCCTCTCTTTTGTAAGCTTCCCCTCAACAAAAGGAATTGCTGGAAAGCAGCATGCCTTTCATCCTCAAAAGGAAAGTTAAAAACAAAACACTTTGAATGAAGTAGAAAGTTTATATAGCATCTGGGGGGGGCGGGTAGGAAAGACACTAAGTGGCATCTGTTTCCTGTCATGCTGGCCCACACCGCTGAGAGGTTTCTCCGCCCCCGAGGCTCCGCGGAAGGGCAGGGCAAGGTGGGCAGGTTCTGTGCCCAGCTCTGGGACTCGGGAGCTTTGGGGCAAACACCTGCGCTGGCAAGCATCCTCAGCCCAGAAGCCTTTCCAAAGAGTTCACTGTTCAAGACTCCACTTCTCCTCTTCTCTCCCTTCTTCAGCAAAAGAGGAAGAGAAGCAGAAGCTACTTAAATGGAGCTCAGATTTGAAGCAAGAGCGAGAACAGCTGGAGCAGAAGGTGAAACAGCTCAGCAGCTCCATAAGTGTAAGTGAGCCGCACGCCCTCATGGAGTTGGCTGCCTGCAGGGTCACAGACCCCTCTGCTCATGGCAGTGCCTGCAGCCGGCGGTAGTAACGGGGCTGCCCGAGTTCATGAACCTGATTACCAGGCCTCAGGGAGAGGCAGCTTGCCCTCCCGTTAGAGCCGTGCCCTCGGCTGCTGGCCAAGTGTGAGTTGGGGCCTCTGCCAAGCTCAGGAACACTCTCCGGCCTCAGTCTCAGCGAAGCCTTCTCTGGTCTCCTGGCTGCAGAGCCAGTCAGGCAGTGGGCACAGCTGGGGCACACAGGCCTTCCCTATCACTGGGTGACACTTGCTGGGTCCCATCTGGGAGTGCTTCTAAGTCACCCCTGCAGCCCTTGCCCTCAGCTGACCAGTGTGAGGAAGAGGGCCTTAGGGGTGCCTGGGGTGGGTGCCCAGGTGGGCAGGGTGGGTGTCCCCAGGGGCACGGTGGCACTCCCTCACAGGAGCAGGTTCTCTGCGGCCTTGAGCAGCTGCCTGATCCCCATGGGCACTGGTGGTGCTTGGGACTGGCTCGCTCACCACCTTTGCCCATGGCATACGGATTTAACATCTCTCCTTGCCTGGAACCAGGGTCAGCAGGGACAGAGGCTGGGGCAGAAGGCCCGTCAGGGCTGAGTGCAGGGCCTACTGGGTGTTACCCTTCGGCCCTGGGCTGTTCTGGTTCTCACTTCCCACCGCCCTACCTCCCTAAGTTCTCTGACTGACCAGGCCTCAGCAGGCCTTCCAAGAGACCACGTAACAGTGACTGGCATTCTACCTGAAGAACCCAAACACAGCCACCCCTGCTCAGGCCAGCTGCAGGCACTTTAGGTCCGTGCTATGACTGTGTTGGTGCCAGTCTGTCATTCACTGCGTTGGCTCTTGCGCACGCCCTTCCCTCAGGCGGCATAATGCACTGCAGGGCAGAGCAGGGCCAGGCCTCAGAGCCTCTGGTGAGCTGCTGCTTGCGGCTGCGTTTCCGGGGAGGGGGAGCACCTTGCCCCCCCCCCCGGGGCTGCCGGGCTCAGCGCCCCCTTTGTCTTCCGCTGCAGAAATGCGTGGAGATGAAGAACACCATCCTGGCGCGGCAGAAGGAGATGCACAGCTCCTTGGAGAAGGTCAAACAGCTCATCCGCCTCATCCACGGCATCGACCTCTCCAAACCTGTGGACTCGGAGGCCGCCGTGGGGGCCATCTCCAACGGCCCGGACTGCACCCCCCCCGCCAGCGCCACCCCCTCTACGCCGGCCCCCTCCCCAGCCTCCCAGAGCTGCACAGCGAACTGTAACCAGGGGGAAGAGCCGAAATAACAGCCCCTCCAGGAGGAGCTGCGGGGCCCCGGCGGCGAGGAGAGCAAAACCCTGAAGACTCTAGCGAAGCCAAGCCGGATTCCTTCTGGAAAGTGCAGAATTCTTTTGGTTCTTTGGTTCCAGAGAGAGAGAAGATGCGTGTGCCAGGTGGCACCGGAGTTTGCCAATTGACCTTCTCGTCCTGTGTGTACATGCAAAGACTGGACCGTGTTCCATGAGATAGTGCCAGCTGGAGGTGCTGTGCCAGCACCATGCCAAGTGAAATAATATATTTACTCTCTCTATTATACACCAGTGTGTGCCTGCAGCAGCCTCCACAGCCACCACGGGTTTGTTTCTGTTCTGTTGGGTGGGGAGCAGGGGCGGGCGGAGGGAGGAGAGCAGGTTGAGAGCCTTGTCGCCAAGCCGGTCGCCGAGGTGGGGAAAGCAAGTCCAAAGAGCGAGCGTGTGGGCTCTCCTGTTTCCAGACTCTCACTCGAAAACCAAAAAAGGAAACCGACATAGAAGTCGCCCCAGCGCCCACCAGCGGGCAGGGGCGGCGGGGGAGGGGGCCAGCAGTGGGGAGCTCTATCGAAGAAACAGTATTTACTCTGGTGGGCAGGGAGGGGCGGGGCCACAGTGCCAGGGGAGGTGGAGGTCAAGAACAGCCCCAGGCCCTCCTCCCCACTGGGGTGCCCTGTCCTGCTCGGTGGAATCTCACACCTCCATGGTGACTCTCCAGTCCCTCCCTCAAGAGCAAGGAGACCCCCCCCCAACCATGGCCTTCCGTGAGACAGAAGGGCGAGCGTCCAGGAAGGGAAGCAGGTGGGTCCAGAGATTTTACTTGAAAATGAGCACCATCCCTTTTCTATATTTATAAGAAGAGAAGATCTGAGCAAAGCAGCACGTGACCCAGGGGTGTGGGAGACGAATGGGGACAGTTCTTTTTCTCTCTTTCGATTTTTGGTTTTTTTTTTTTTTGGTTTTGTTCTTTTTTTTTTTCCTTTAAAGAAAGGTTTATTTTGTTGTTTACTTTTTTGGTAACAAAAACTAAACTAAGGAATCGCGACGCTGTTTTCAGGCTGACAGTCCGGTGAGGGTCGCCGAGACCGTGCATGGTAGAGTAGGCGTCCTAGTGTCCGTGAGGTCCCGTGAGTCTTCGTGAGTCCTGTGTCATCGTCCGGCCACTGTTTTTTTATGCAAGGGCAAAAATCTTTGTATCTGGGGGAAAAAAAAAAACAAACAAGCAAACAAACTTTTTTTAAATTAAAAAGGAAAATAAAAGATATTGAGGTCTTCCTAGTGTTAATTAAATTAAGATCAAGGTAAGAAAACGTTGTAAAAAAAAAAGAAAAGAAAAGAAAAAACTACAAAAGTGCTATTTGTTTCCTAAAAACAGTGATTTCTATTAAAAAGGTGTCAGAACTGGAGCAATGCCGTGTAGTTACACTTTTTTGAGCACAGAACCTGCTCATCATGGTGACATTTGGCTATGTCTTCTGCCTCTAGACGGGTGGGCCAGTGTCCGCGAAGGGCGGGACAGGGACCTCAGCTCCTAGGTGGGACACCCACAGCAGCTGTGCATGGTGGCCCCAGCACCGAGGAGCTCCACAGATGTTGCTGGCTAGCTGCCTCCCTTTGGTGCTGTTCTAGGTCTCCAGGCACCAGCATTCTGAGCGCCTGGGGTGAGGGGGGTGAGGACGCTGCTGAAGGCATAGACTGCAGAGCTGCCAGGGCCTGTGGACCCCAGCCCTGGCTGAGTGGTGTGCAGGGTGGGGACAGGTTAGCTACTTTAGTTATTTTAGCCCTGGTCACTTAGGAAGAACAGAGGAGTAGGAAGAGGGTACCTACCTACCAGCTCCCTGGGTGAGAACGGCAACACCTGCCTTGGCACAGCCTAGGGTGGCCTCGCCTCTGGCAAGACTCCACCAGCATTTACAAGGTTCAGGTCGGCCTTGAGCCTTGCAGGGAGTTGGCCAGATGTGGCTGGAGTGGGGCAGGGGGAGGCTGGAGGCTGTGCACCCTGGCTCCCCAGCTCTGGTGACGGCTTATGGAATCTGAGAGTGATAGACACCCAGGGGTGTCTCCTTGCTGTGGTTAGCCCCGGAGACATGGGGGTGAGCTACGAAAGCCAATTTACGCACACCACGTCCATTCCTCCTCCTGTGGGTGTCATGGCAGCAAGTTTGGGGGCCGTGCCTAGTCAGGATGTGCCGGAGATGCCCAGACTGGCGGTAGGAGTAGTTGGCAGAGAACCAGAGAGGAGCCCCGTCTGTCTTCACGCTATCCTGTTGGACTTGTCTGGGCCCATCTTTTCTCAGGAGGGGGCGGGAAGCCATCGTCACCAGCGGCCTTTGTCTCAGCTGGGGTCTCTGCCACCCACCCGCTGACCTCACCTGAGGTTGGGAGGGGTGTGCATGGCTGAAGAAGTTCAGGTTGAGCAGCTTAGTGTGGCAGTCAGCAAGGATCTAAAGGGCAGCCCCACCCCCAAAGCTCATGAACTCAAATTCCAAGACATTGCTCGGTGGTAAAGTCCCCTCCCCCAGTCCGGCCACTAGGTCTCCTTGACTTCCCGCTGTCCTGCCGAGACTGGGTGCCCCCTGCAACAACCAGGACCTAGGCTCTGGCACCGCCCTGCGCCTGAGCTATCCCTGCTGCTTGCCCCTTGCCTTCAGCAACCTGCTCTGCTCTTCTTCCTCCCCCATCCCCACCCCTACCCCTAGAGCTGAGCATTGCCCGCTGGGCCTGGGATGAGGCAGGCCTTGTGGGTAATGAGGTCAGGCTGCCTGCATCCCCACCTTGCACATTCCTGGCCTGCAGCTCGCTTTACCTCTGATGCCTGCTGGGGCTTGCCTCACTTCCACTGAGCTCCACCCTTCCTGATCATTCAGGCCTTGGGGATGCGCCTGTTGGCTGTACCTGTCATAGATTTGCTGGCTGGGGGAAGCCTCCAGCCAGCACTGTGCCAGCTCACTCTACAGGGTCTCCCCCTCTGTCCCTTCGGCTTTCTGGCTCAGGCCCAGCAGGTGGCGTGAGTACACACCTCAGCACACAGCTCCTTCCCTGAGGGTAACAGCACCGGCTCGCCTCCACCTACCACCTCTGGCACTTACCCCGTGGGGGTCCACGGACCCTCGGTGGGTGCTGGCCGCCAGCCCCCCAGCTCTCACAGCCTTTCATTCCTGTTGGGGCAGTGTGGTCTCTCTCACTAATCTAAAGGGCTGAACTGTAGAGACGGGACAAAGGCTCTTAGGGAAATAGGATGGATGGTGTGGCAGAGGGACATTTTGCAGGCCTGGGATCTGCAGAATGACTAAAATTCTGTAGACTCCTCCACCCCCATTCTGCTGGCAGCCTTGGCAAGAAACAGGAGTCTCACTCCCACCTTGCCTGTCCTCCCCTGGGAAGACTCCTGGCCCTGCCACTGGAGCAGAGAGCAGGCAGCTGGACAACCAGAGAGCCAGGCTGGGAGATCTCTTTAACACAGGGAGGGAAGGGCACCCTGGCTCCCCAACTTGGCTCTTCTTCCCAAAGGACTCCACCAGCCCCGGCAGCAGCCTTGGGTCCCTGCATCCCTTTGAGAGTCTTGGGTTCTCAGCCTAGGGAGTCGTGGTCTGGCAGGGCAGGGAGGCCAAAGGCTAGCCAGTCCCGGCAGAGCCAGCCAGACCCCAGTCCCGTTTGTGTCCGTGCCCTTTGTGATTGCAGTCTTGGTAGAACTTGTATTTGGAGTTTTGTGCTTCAAAGTTTTTGTTTCTGTTTGTTTGATTTTTTTGTTTTCAGGGGGTGGGGGGGATACAGAGCAGCTGATCAATTTGTATTTATTTATTTTAACATTTTACTAAATAAAGCCAAATAAAGTCTCTTGAGCCTCATGGTGTTGGGTCTGGGGCATGGGAGGGTGGGCAGGACATACTCAAGCCCTGGTCCTAGGGAATTGGGGCCCTCCACCTTTCCACCAGCCAGCTATGCCTCTCGGGTCACCCATACCCTCCTGCCTCAAAGAGCCCTCAATACCCTAGAAGCAGGCGGACAGGAAAGGAAAAATTTTACAACTTTTTATTATAAAAATGGAGTTACAGTTAAGGATGAGGGATCCCACTGTGGGGTTAGCAGCAAGGAGAGGACCCCAGGACCCAGCCCAAAGAGACCTTAAATAATTTAAATTGCACAAGAGCAGGCAGGAAGGTGGGCAGAGCAAGTTTGCTCCAGTGTCTGCACGGAGAGTCTGTGACACAGCAGGTGCAGCTGGTGCGGGCACAGCCTCCGGGCTCAGGCCAGGCTCCGCGGCTGCAAGGCAGTGAGGTATTTGAGGGCAGCAGCCCCGTAGTGGCGGGACAAGTCCTGGTGGAACTCTTCCTTGAGGGCCTGGAGGCAGTGGCGGTAGGTGGAGCTGGAGCGGAAACGGGACAGGTCAAGGCTTGGCGCGTGGGGCAGGTGGATGGTGAAGGCCTCAGGCAGCACCAGGAGCTCGTATTCCTGTAGTGGGGTAGGCAGAGGGCATGGCCAGGCTGGGGGGCGGAGGGCAGCAGGCTACTACTCCAGAGCCCCCAGGAGCTAAAGCAAGGGTGGGTGAGAAGGCAGGAGGTTTTGGCTCATGCCTGAAAGGCAAGTCCTGCTGCAGAGCAAGGATCAGGGGCTCCATGGACCGGGAAGGGTGAGACTCAGAACTGCTGGTGGGCCAGGCACCCTCCTCACCTGTGCATCAAGCTCCACAATGTGTGCCACCTTGTTCCAGCCAAAGCCCACAAAGCGGGGATCATACCGGGGACAGTCACGTGGCACCACCACGTAGGGCTCGTAGTCAGCTGCCCACTGCACATGGTATGGCACCTGGGCCTCCCGCCAGCGGGCATAGTCTGTGGGCGCATGTCCCTGGGGCCACTCGTGGTACCTGTGCAGTATGATCAGGGGTGGGAGCCAGGTAGAGACTCGTAGGAACTGCTGGGTGGGTGGCAGGCGGGTCGGTGCAGGAGGGCACCAAAGCAGCGGTCTGTTCTACCTGAAGGTGTGGAGGGAGCCGGCGTCCAGTAGGCCCAGCAGTTCTGCCTTGGAAGTGGGAAAGCTGAAGCGGTAGTGCAGAGTCTCAAATGCCGGCACTACCAGCGCCACCTTGCGCGCGCTGCCCAGCTCCAGCTGCTCGATGGAGGCCCTGAGCGGGGAGAGCCACGCTCAGGAGGTGGGCACTCTGCCATGAACCCGGGGCCCAGCAATCCAGCCACCAGAAGATCTGGCTTTGGAGAGGTAGCTTGCCCAGAAGCCACAGGGCATGCATGACACCAAACAGAGCTGTGCTTGGCAGCAGGCCCTGGGCTGCCCTGCGTTCAACACCTTCAATTCCCTCCCAACCCACCCTGCACAGAGCACCAGCCAGGAGCAGGGACAGCTGTCCACGCTGCCCCTTGCAGGCCCACCTGAGGTAGTCGTAGAGAGAGTAGGCAGGCAAGAAGTCAATATCACTGAGGAAGACGTAAGGCGTCAGGGCCTGAGCCAAGGCCACATTGCGGAGCTGGTTCACTGGGTAGAGGGGACCCTCACGGTACATTACGTGGTAGGCCATGTTCTGCCGGGCCGAGAGAACCGGCGAGGCTTCGACAAACCGCAGGAACTGTTGGGCCTCTGCATCTGTCAGGTACAAGGCCAGGCTCATGGGGCCCGGCCAGTGCCTGCACAGTGCTTCCAGCATCTGTAGCCTGGGGTGAGGGGGGTGGTCAGCCCAGCTGGCGGGAGGACCTCCCCTCAAGTGAGCTGCTGCCAGCACCCCCTCTCCCGGGAAGGGGGACATAGCACTGCTGAGCACTGGGAAAGGCGGGTGTGATTGAATCTTCACAACCAACCCACTTCCCATTTGACAGATGGGAATACTGAGGGTCCAGGCATGTCCCCCATGAGACTCCAGAGGGGGGCAGTTCCAGGAACCTGTGAGCTGCAGCCCAAGCTCTAAACTCCCAGGCCAACAATCAAGGTCTCCGACTCCTGGAAGGATAGGCCTCATGCTGCGCTGCACCCTCCCCAGACCCCAAGGCTGCCCTGGGCACTCTTACCGGTCCATGGAGAGCTGTGCCACCAGGGTGACGTCATGAGTCTGGGGCGTTGGCGGCTCATGGGGCAGGAAGGTGATGTGCACACGGTGCACAGTGAGCTGCTGCTGGCGAAACTCGAAGCAAGGATCCTCCTCGTCCAGCTGTGCCAGGGCCTGCTGCAACTGAGCAGCGACAGCACTGGCGGGTGAGGGGGCTGGGGTGGGGACAACATGGCTGCCAGCCAGAGATGCCACCAGAGTAAGAGAACTTTCCCTGGGGGTGGCAGACTGATGTTCCTGCTTCTCCTACCTGCTCAGCCCCGGGTGGCGGCGGGCTGGGACACCCAAAGAGCTCTCTGCGCAGCAGGTTCCCGTCGTACTCCAGAAAGCTCAAGTGGAAGTTGCGGAAGAATCCAGCGTGCTTGTTCTTCACCTGCAGCTTCTTGGGCGAGTTCCAGTGGATCACCTGTAACCCAGGAAGCTTTCAGTGGGATGGGGCAGGAGCATGGTGCAGCAGGGTCCCCAGCATTGCTGGCTGGGGCACCCCATCTCATTCATCACCCCTAACCCTGGGCTGTCCACTTGCCTTGAGATCCGATGCTTCGGAGTAACAGTGCTCGGCCAGCGTGTGCTCAGACAGCTGCACGTTCCAGACGCAGGGCAGGGGCCGTACCAGTCCCGGGTGCTCCTTGATGACGGCATTGAAGATGTCCTGGGTAGAGGCACTGTCATAACTCGGCCCCAAGCCATCGCCAGTCCACCCCTCTTCCACCAGCCGCCTCCCCGCCACAGCCCCGCCCAGGGATATGCCCCGCACCTGGTCAGCCAGTGAGGTGGCAGGCAGGGTGACGAGCTCCCGCCGGGCTGTCAGCCTCCACAGCTGCTCCCACCCAGCCTGCTGCAGCCGGCTCAGCCACAGCAGGATCACACCTGCCAAGGAAAGGGGAGGGGAGGAGGTCACCATGCCCAGGAACACCGCAGGTACCCGTCACATGCTGAAGCTGCAGTCCACAATGCCTCAATACGTGTGCCCGTGCTGGTGGTGACGCCACAGGATTATTTCACTCCTAACCCATTTGCTGGACAGGCACCAAGGCCAGATCGTGCTGTCTGTGGGACTTTGTTCTTCCAAGGACTGCTGGCTATTTACCGCACTACTCACAGGCTGCACACAATGATCAGCGTAAACAATGAGCAAGCTATGGGCATCTCGCATTCCGAGTCCTGCCTGCAATCGCCTCGGAAGTTTTCACCGCTCCAGGTGGCATGTTCCCACCACGGAAGATGTTGGCACAGCAGTGGAGTCACGTGACATACATTTTCAGAATGTACCCCCTCCCTCTTCTGCCCTGCCCCGTCAGTAAGCGACACAGGACTCGGCTGTGACCAAGGATGACCTCTTTCACCACGGAATCGTGGTGGGGGAAAAGGCGCTGCGTGTGAGGCAGCTTGCAGAGCCCCTTCACGTGGCTGCCTGCTCACACTCAGTGACCACACTCCACTTTACCAGATGAGAAAACTGAGGTTCAAGGGCAGGCACATGGCATGGCACGTTAAGCCACCACCTGCAGCACCAGCATGCCATAGAGCTGCCAGCTGAAGTGCCAGCAGCTCTGCTCCTGATCCAGCTCCCTACTAATACGCCAGGAAAGCACTGGACGGCCCACGTGTTTGGGCCCCTGTATCCACACAGATGACCTGAATGAAGCTCCTGGCTTTGGCCTGGCCCAGCCCTAACTCTTAGCCATTTGAGAACTGAATTGGCAAACGGGAGAATTCTCTCACTCGCTACCTCTCCCTCTCCGTAACTCTGCCTTTTAAATAAATAACTAAACCTTCAAGAACAAAGCCGAGACTCAAGAAGACCAAGACAATTGACTGAAGTCTCCCGGCATGTATTTGTGGGTAACGGAATTAAAAGATACGTTTAAGGGTCAGCGCTGAGACGCAGCAGCTGAAACTGCCACTTGCAATATTGAGATGCCCCACTTCTGACCCAGCTCCCTGCCAGTGCACCTGGGAAGGCAGTGGAGGATGGAGAACCCCAGACTGCTGGCTTTAGTGTGGCTCAGCGCTGGCTGTTGTGGCCATTTGGGGAATAAACCAATGGAATGGAAGAGAGGTGTGTGTGTGTGTGTGTGTGTGTGTGTGTGTGTGTGTGTGTGTGTGTGTGACAGAGTATCTTTTCAAAGTTTATTTTGGTGCAAAACAACCCACTGAAATCCAAAGATATAAGCTGTCTTCCTAACATTCATGGAAAGTATGCATTATGAGAAAACCAGGCAAGGATCTCAAAAGTTTTTGCACTAAAATAAACTTTTAAAACTGCCTACTGAGGAGACAGGAGTCGGGAACTCGGTGCAGGTGGCCTGCGTGGCAGCAGAGTCCTGGAACCCGTCCTCAGCTGCTTCCTCGCAGGCACTCAGGAGCAGGAAGCTGGAGCCTAGAGCGGAGCTGGGATTCAAACGTAGGCCCTTGGCTATGGGGTGCAGGTGACATTAGTGGCATCTCACTGCAGGGTTGCATGCCCACCCACTCCACTGTTGGTGACTCGTTGAAGTCTCCTCGTTCAGCCCACACTCCCTCCACAGCCTGACTCTTCCCAGATGGGCCAGATGCCCAGGCCCCTGGCACCCAGCCCCTTCGGCCGTCGCACCCACCGTCCCCACCTGTGTTAAATCCTCGGCCTAGGGCAGGCCAGGGCCTGTGGTTCTTCCAGAGGTTTCCCAGGTACCAGTCACTCTGATTCTCCACAACACCGATCACCTGCTCGTCTGTGAGGGAAGGGCGTGAGGGAGCCTGAAGTGGTCCAGGGCCGGCCCATGGCAGGGGTGGAGAAGGGGCTGGCCTCCTGGGCAAGCTCTGGAGGGAGGTTGCCTGCAGGGCAAGTTCCCAGGTCTCTCACCAGAAAACTCAGCAAAAAGCGCCCAGAGCTCAGCGATGTCAGAGGCAAAGGTGACGTCGGTGTCCAGGACAATGACCCGGGTCAGGTTGGCCGGCAGGATGGCAGGCAGCACGAGTTTCATTAGCCCGTAGACACCGGAGTAGTGTTTGTTGGGGATCCAGGCGACCTGGGGCTGTGAGCCAGAAGGGCAGCGTGTGAGCCAGCAGCCTTGGACAGCTGGGGTGTGGAGCACAGGTGGCCGAAGGCAGGGAGATGGACTTAAGAGCGTCCCCATGGCTCCAGTGCCACCGTGCCTGGGTGGCAGGAGAGAGGTGGCCCCAGCCAGGCTCCTGTACCTTGAGAAGATCGGCGGCGTAGAAGCTGACCTGGACGGCAGGCACCATCCACGTGTGGAACAGCATCTCCAGGATGTTTCTGGCCACGGTGTCAGTCACCAAGTGCAGGTGCAGCGGGTTCTTCCTTGAGGGTGGACAGGCAGGCAAGCAAGTCTGGGAAGCCCCAGCCAGACAACCCCCCAGTCTGGGACTCAGGCCCTTACTTCTAGTAAACAACTCAGAGGAGGAGGAGCTGGGCACTGCCCCCAGCCGTCCCAGCTGAGAAAGCTGAAGCTCCTGGACTCAGGGACTTGTGTAGGACTTTGTCCCCAGCAGGTCCCCCAGCGCTGACCCTCCTCCACGCACCACTAGCTCCTACCTGTAGAACAGCAGGGACTTCACCAGGGTAGTGACCTCCCGGCTGGAGTTGTGTCCCGCACACACGATGGCCACGTGCAAGATCTGGGGAAGGAAACCGAGTCACCGGCAAACCTCCCCTCCCCTCTCCTTCCCTTCCCTCTTCGCTGCAGGGTAAGGGTCCACGGTGGAGCCGGTCTGGCTCAGGGCATCCATCCAGCGCCAGAGCTAGAGGAGCTGGGCAGGACAGCAGGCTGTGACCCCTGAGCGTCCCAAACTGGGACCTAGAGGCCAGGCGCCGCAGGGCAGGGAGGTGCGCCCCAGCCCAGGCGATCCCAGCGGGCCACCAGGTGCGGTGATTCGCACAGGTGTCCAGCGGGCGCCGCCCCCAACGCCACCAGCGGGACAGGGGCGCACCTACCTCACACTTGGGTGGCAACGGCGGCTGCGGGACACAGCTGGAGCGGTTGTGGCCCCCGTGGCCCGCCAGCGGGTCTTCCTCGAGGGTAGCAGCTGCCCGCAGCCGTCCATCTGGAGGGACACGTGGCGTAAGCGGGCGGATGGGAGGGGGAAGGGGACATTGTGGGTCGCCTGTCCACCTTCTCCCGGCTCACGGCGCTCACCCTCTGGGTCCCCTCCGAACAGGAAGAGTCCGACGAGGAGCAGCAGGAGCAGCAGCGCGGCGGCCCCCAGCGCCCGCAGGCGCCCTCGAGGCAGCATGGCCGTCGGCGGGGCCGCTCAGGGCGGCGGGGCGCGACCCGGGGCAGCGGGCTCCATCGCGGGCCCTTTACGGACGGGAGGACGGGGAACGGGGGTCAGCCCTGGACGCCGGGGCCCGACGGCCCGCTCGTGCCTCCCGCGCTCGGCTGCCGCCCTCACCTGCCCCGGCGGCTCCCGGCCCGGCCCTGCTCTTCCAGCCGCCAGCCAGGGTGCGGGGAGCCGGGGAAGGCGCGGGCCAGCCCCGCCCCCAACCTGGGCTCAGGTTTCACCTCCGCCTCGAAGGGGCGGGGAGACCCACGGGGTGGGGGGGACCTGGGCTCGCCGCCGGTCCCTGTTTCACTGGTTCCTTCCCCGCCACCCCGCTTCCCCTCCCAAGCCTGCGGGGGAGCCGGGGAACCTCCCCATTGGGGCTGAGAGTCCCAGCCAGACGCACGGGGCGGTCCAGGAAGGCGCACCGCACTACCTGCCTGGAGCCCATCTCTCTCCGCTTCAGCCGCTGGGGCACCTTTCTCCTCCTCCTAGCCTCCCCCGCGCCCCCAGAAGGGGGTCCGGTGACCTCGGGCCCCGGGATCAAAAGGCTGCTAGGGTCGGGGGCGAGGCCGGAATGCTGGCGGCTGCGGTTCTGGACACCTGCTCTGAGGCCGGGCGGTGGGGCTGGCCTAGACCTACCCCGAGCCGCGGAGCACCGGGAACCGGCTGCGCACCCCTACCTCCTGCCCCGCAGAGGACACCGAGCGCCCTCACGGATACCGCGAGAGAAGGTTGAGGCCGGCGGCCAGACCTGGGCAGTCCCCCACTTTGTCTTGACCTGGAGGCCAGGGCCTGGTCTCTTTTTCCCCCCAACCCCTGGCTTCCCACCGCACGATCCAGTCCCTCCCCTGGCCCAGGAGAAGGTGCCAAGCTGGAGACGTGTGCACAGCGCCTGTGGACTGAGCGCTCCCAGTTCAGACTTTCCAATCTTAGGACCCCAGCCCACGAGCCACCTGTTGGAACCGCCCCGAAGGTGATCGCCTGGAATGCAGGCCCTCAGGGCTGCTTCCTCCCTCCACTCCCTGAGTTTATTTTCTTTCAGTCGGCATGGAAAGTTTTAATTTCCTGGCTAGTTTATGGCCCCATTTCCCCCCAGCAGCTGCTCTGGAGGGCTGGGGCCCTGCCTGCCTGGTCCTGCACTGGGCCGGTGGTGCCCAGCCTGGCCTGGCACGCATACCAGGCACTCGGCATGTGTTGCACAGAGGCTGGGAGCTGGGGAAGGCACAGGCCAGCCGTGTAGCTGCCGCCCTGACTCTGCTTTTTCACCACTTCCTAGGAAGCGATTAGAGACTGTATATCCTAGCCCGTCTGAGAAGTGAAGCTTGCCTAAAAGCAGCTGCCTGAGACCACCCCCCTCTCCAAGTCCCCTCCTCCGGGATGCCTTTCTCTAGGAGATGGGGCCTGCCCTAGGGGTCAGGCTGTGGGGCCTTCAGGAAGCCTAGAGTGTGAGTTGCTATGGAAACTGCCGGTGGCTCCTTGGGAATTGAGAGGAGATGGGGACAGTGGGAACTGGGGGGGGGGGTGCTCTCAGGTGGCCAGCTTTCTGAGCTGCTGCTGGCCTGCCTCTCCAGCCGGTAGCAGGGGAGGAGGTGGGCCATTTCAACCCAAGAGCCTTAACACAGACTGTACGAGTGGGGGGTGAGGGAGTATGAGCAGGCCCCAGAGCATGACGGGAGAAGTGGGGGAGAGCTGAGTCAGCAGATCTAACTGTTGTCCCACGCGCTATGCCAGCTGCCTCGCTGTCATCACACAGGGCCTGCGGGGAGGCTGAGATGGCTGCTGGACCTCAAGGGGTCAAGGGAGACCTGTGTGGGTACCTGTGGCAGGGCGCTGGTCCTCCATACCTGAGACCCCAATGAGTCCAGCTCCACACAGGACCGGGCTGTGTGGTCCTGGGGGGCAAGCAGGCCCCCTCTTGGGCCTCAGTGGCTTTTTGTGGACCTGCAGGCCTGGTACTGTCTCCTTTCTGTTGGGACTTGCTGCCTGAATGAAGGAAGAGGAGGGAGGCTCCAGATCCCGCACCTCCGCAAGCCCAGAGGCTCCTCATTCCAGCATTCCTGGAGCACCTCCCGTACCTCACACCGTGTACCATGCCCTTTGTCTTTGGGCCTAATCAGACCCTGGGATCTAGAAAGTCAGCCTGCTGTGCCAGCCCTGCCAACCTGGCTGGGCTCCTGCTCCTCCTCCCAGTCCCTCAGAGCATGGGACCCGCCCCTTTCTCCAAGAGCCAGGCCTGCAGGAGAGGCCCCTGAGGAGGACTGGAGGGAAGGAGTGAGAGGAGGCTGAAGGCCTGCCTGGGCCCATGTTCTGACTCCGTGGCTAACTCCTGTTGTGACCAGGGGATTTCCACCTGCAGCTGGTCCTGCTGGGCTGTGGGTGGTGGGACAGGCACTGCCACTAGAAACCCACGCAGGGGCCGCTGGGGCCGGGCCTGGCTGCTTCCACCTGTCGAGGTCTCTAATTTTCCATCTGCCAGCTGGGGAGGCTGCTGGGAGGGGGCAAGAAATGAGGGCGCCACAGCCCACGGCCTTTCTCCGGCCCTTCTCCGCTTTCCCCAGGCTCTGGCTCTCTGGGATGGCAGGCAACTCTAATGCCCCCCCTCCCGCCTCTGCCCCTACTACTGTAGGAGGGCAGGAGGAAGTGGAAGACAGAGTTCCTTCCTGTCTTCCTGTGTGTGATGCTTAAAATGCATAGACTAAACCTGGGGCCCGGCTAGCCTGTGGCCAAGCTGGACCAGGACTCCAGACCCATGGCGTGTTATTTGTTTAAACTTTTTTTTTTTTTTTGGAAAGTCAGATATATAAAGAGCAGGAGACAGAGAGGGAGATCTTTCGTCTGCTGATTCACTCCCCAAGTGGCTGGAATGGCCAGAGCTGAGCTGATCTGAAGCCAGGAGCCAGGAGCTTCCTCCAGTCTCCCACGCAGGTGCAGGGTCCCAAGGCTTTGGGCCGTCCTTGACTGCTTTCCCAGATCACAGACAGGGAGCTGGATGGGAAGTAGAACATTCTAGACATAAACCGGCACCCATATGGGATCCTGGCGCTTGCAAGGCGGGGAGGACTTCAGCCACCAGCCCACCGCGCCAGGACCCCACAGTGTGTTCTTTAAGCAGCCTCTTTCACGTGGAACTAGTGGTGCAGAGGACCAAGGTCCTGGGTGCAAGGAATCCACAGGTGGAGACCGCAACCTGCAGCCGCGCCCTGACCCCCTTCTGGCAACCCCCAACCCCAACTGGGCAGTGAACCCCACAACCCCCCCCTCCCATCTCCTGGGGGCGCAGGCAGTGTATCCAAGGGCGGAAAAGCGTCCCGCCGCGAGTTCAAGGGCACTCTTGCCTTTGGAACCATCTGACAGACTGGAAAACATGAGGCCCAGAAAAGGGGCGCCTCCCGGCACTCCGGGTCGCCCCGAACCGAGAGGCAGAAGCCCGGGTCGGGGATTTCATCCGCGGCCGTGGGTGGGCGCGCGCCCGGCTGCACCTTCTCAGGGGCGCACGGGCCAGTGGCCGGGAAGAGTGCGCCCGGAGGTCGGCGACCCTTTTCTGAAACTGCCTCGGTGTCCCCAGCACTGCTTGGGGTGTAGGAGAACCCCAAGTTCGAACCTCTCGACGTTCTACTGGAAAGACTCGGGCTCGCAGGTCCCTTCTCTGGCATGAACTGCTCGGCCTGCCGCGCGCCCTCCCCGCGCAGGCGCCCGGGCGGGCCGGGCAGCAGGTGCGGCCGGCGGGGAGGGTGGCGGCCATTGGAGCGGCGGCGGCGGAGGGCGGCCGGGGCCCGCCGGGTGGGAGGTGACTGCGGAGATGGGGTGAAGGGGGTGGTTCCGAGGCGTCGGCGTCCCGCGGGCCCGCGGAAGTCAGGCCGCCGAGAGGCGGGCCTCGGGCCGGAAGCCGGAAGGAGGACGCCGCCGCCCCGTCGCACGGCAGGTCCGTGGAGCCGTCGGTGCCGAGGGCGGCATGGAGAAGCTGCGGCTCCTGGGCCTCCGCTACCAGGAGTACGTGACTCGTCACCCGGCCGCCACGGCCCAGCTGGAGACGGCGGTGCGGGGCTTCAGTTACCTGCTGGCAGGTGCCACCCTGACCTTTGACCTGTCCCTTGCCGGGGGAGGGGAGACCCTGGCCTGGGACCCCCCCCCCCCCACTGCTCTTTGCACCTGCTCATTTTGTGCTGGACAATTCCTCGAGCGCCAGGGCAGGGGACAGACTGGTCGAAGGCCACGCTCACCGACTCCACCTCCTCTTTCTGCCCCTTCTCCTCCAGGTCGCTTCGCCGATTCGCATGAGTTGTCGGAGCTGGGTGAGCCGGGCTTGTGGGGTACAGGGGCCTCGCGGGTTGCGGGTTCCCAGAGGGAGTGACTAACTCTGCTTTGGGGTCCTGGGTTGCCCATTGCATCACCTTGTGCTGGCAGAAACAGGCCCCTATCTTGGAGGGCCATGTCAGGGACCTCCCCTGATCTGTGGCTATTAAGCCAGTGCAGCTTCACCCTCCCCAGAGTGCGCTGTTGTGGGCACTGTCACGGACCTCCCTAACCAGCCCAGCAAACAGCCCTTTGGGGAGGTCAGGGGGCCAGCGCTGGTGAATCCAGAACCAGGGCTCAAGGCCACAGGTGGCGGGTGCCCGAGTTCCCGGACCGCCCCAGCCCCGGTGGTGTCAGCTGCCCAGTGAGTGCTGGAGGCCAGGGCCCGGGAGGTGGGGCCACGCCGTGATGGGACCACACTGCCGTGGCCCTGGGAGGCCCCCTAACAATGGCGAGCCTTGCTGTGCAGGGTAGCCATGTTTGCCGTCAGCCTATCTTCCCTGGCCCAACCAGCCACACACAAGGTGGCCTGCTGGGGAGTGGGCGGCAGAAGCAGGCTGCTGGCTTCTGCAGGCTCTGGGGGTGGCTGAGCCCAGCAGGTGACAGGTGACGGTGCCGTGGCTCTGGGGAGAAGGGCAGGGGGGCGGAGGCTGCCTCGACAGGCCCCTTGTGCCCTGCAGTGTACTCTGCCTCCAACCTGCTCGTCCTGCTCAATGATGGCATCCTGAGGAAGGAGCTCCGCAAGAAGTTGCCTGGGGTGAGATTTCTGCCAGGTGCTGGGGCGGGAGTGCGCGGGGAAAGCCAGCCTGGGCTGCAGTGGCACGCCATGAGCTCTGAGTGGGTAACAGACCAGGCTCCCCAATGCCTGAGTTATGCCCCCGTGTGCCCTGTCTCCTGTTGCAGAACCCCCCCACCTTCACCCTCCCCTTGACTTGGGTGGTTTTTTGCATTTATTTATTTGCAGTCACTGACACAGCAGAAGCTCCTGACATGGCTGAGCGTGCTGGAGTGCGTGGAGGTGTTCATGGAGATGGGGGCTGCAAAGGTGTGGGGCGAAGTGGGACGATGGCTGGTCATTGCCCTCATCCAGCTGGCCAAGTAGGTTGCACCCCCCCACCACCAGGGCTGGGGCCGGGTAGGGGCATGCCCAGCAGAGCATTCCTCCCTCTACCCCTCCTCCCTTCCGGCTAGCACCTCCCCCACCAGTCCTGCATTCCCTCCCCAACCCAGAGCTGTCCTGCGGATGTTCATGCTGATCTGGTTCAAGTCCGGCCTCCAGACCTCACCCCCCATCATCCCACTGGACAGAGAGGCCCAGGCCCAGGCCCCAGGTGAGCTGCATGGGACTGATGGTGGGCTTTTAGTGCTGACCCAACATGCCAAACTTGAGCCCAGGACTTAAATGGCCAGAGTGTTCATTCTTTATTGGGATGTGTGGCACAGTGAAGACAGATCTTCAGCTGCAGGTGGGACACCTGCCAACTTACCCTGGGGCTGGCTCTGGAGTGAGAGCCATGGCCTTGAGACGCAGGGCACCCGGCAGCTGTGACCCGGCAGGACTCCTGGCCTGGCCCTTTCGGCCTCAGTCTCTTCCCCTGATGCTGAGCGGGGACAGTTGTGTTTCTCGTCCTGGTCGTGTTAGAAGCAAAAGACCGGAAGGATATGGCCTGTGCAGCTTGGTCCCCTCCAAGCCTGGCTCCAGCCCCTTCGAGGTCTGGGTTCTTGGTCACCTCTGGCCACAGAGGATGCTGGCCTTGCCTCTGGTCAGGTTCCAGAAAGTTTGCCCTCATGCTCGGTCCAAGGGCCACGTTGAGCCAGCCATCAGCTGCCTACTCTCCGTGTGGCCTCTGGGTGTTTGTGGCACACACATTTATTCATGGGTTCCACTAGAGGCATGGCCTTATATCTGTCCCTGTCAGATGGTGACCACAGCCCTGGCAGCCAGGAGCAGGCATACGTTGGGAAGCGGTCAAACCGAGTTGTGCGAACCCTCCAGAACAGTAAGTGTGGAGGGGCTGGCTCCCTCCCGTCCAACCCCGGTGGCCTGGTGGCTCACGTGTCTGTCACCATTGTGTTCCAGCTCCGTCCCTGCATTCAAGACACTGGGGATCCCCCCAGCAGCTGCAGGAACGGCGGCAGCAACAGCAGCCCGAGGAGCCGAGCACCCCGCCCACCCCGCTGGGGCTGCGGGAGACTGTCGCCGAGTCCTTGTACATCGCCCGGCCCCTGCTGCACCGTATCCTTAGCGTGGGGCGGGCCAGCGTGGTCAGGGTCAGCCGGGGCATGGCTCGATCCCTGTGCCAGAGACCTCCTTGACACCTTGGCCGGCAGTGCTCAGCCTGGGCTTGTGGGGTCAGCGGTCGTGGGCGCCCTGGCTGCTCTCGGGAGTTGTAGATGTGACCAGGTAAGCCCGAGTCAACCTCTAGGCCTGCCCTCCGCCTGCCCGCCTCCCGCCTGCAGACCCTGCTGGACCTGGATGCCTGGGCAGCGGCCCTCTTCCTTCTTTTTTTTTTTTTTTTTAATTACGTGATACAGTTTTATAGGCACTGGGATTCCCCCCACCTCTCCCACAACCCTCCCCCCATGGTGGATTCCTCCACCTTGCTGCATAACCACAGTTCAAGTTCATTTGAGATTCCTTCATTGCAAGCATATACCTAGCATAGAGTCCAGCATCTTATTGTCCAGATAAGTTCAGTGGCTTCTTGGGGAGACCTTCTCTGGTCTGAAGGCCCTGTTCCTTCTGCGGCTGTTTCCATGGACACCGGGCCCATGGCTCTTGCCCACCCTGGCCCTGACTCTGACCCTATGTCCCTTTCCTGACTTCTCCCCACCCCCCAACAGCCTCAGCCTCCTGAGTGACAGGAAGGGTCTGAGCCGGCGGGAGCGGCTGGAGCTGCGGCGGCGGACCATCCTGCTGCTCTACTACCTGCTGCGTTCCCCGTTCTATGACCGCTTCTCCGAGTAAGGAGCCGCTACTCCCAGTGCGGCGGTGAGGGGAAACAGGGAGGGTGCACTTATCAGAGGGTTCCACTGAGGCTCCAGGGGCTGAGCAGCTGTCTCCCATGGCTGTGTCCTCCAAAACACTGGGCCTGCTTTGTCCAGCTTGTACCAGTCGCCTGGGATCAGTCCAGAGCTCCCCACAGAGAGGCCTGCTGGGGAGTGGGGGCAGTGCTGGGGGCCGGGTGTCCCACGTAACCCTCGGGTAAGAGTGCGAGGTGAGCTGCGGCTGCTGAGGCTGTGCCGCGGGCGGAGCTCCCAGGAGGCCCTCCACTCGAGCTGAGGCTCAGCCGACCCCGACTCGCGGCCCCCAACCAGCTATGTCTGGCAGCTCCTTCTGGTTCCAGAGCAGACTGAAAGCTTAGAGGAGATTACAGCAAAATCCTGTCCCACACTGGGAGAAAAGCCTTCCGGAGCCCTGTCGTGTCACGTGACCTCCCTGCGCATGGCCTGCTCCTCTCAGACTCCTTCCGGTTGGGAACTTGAGAGGTGACAGGGCAAGGGTTGGCACCCTGGGCCCGGAGCTCCCCCCTCCAGCTCAACTCCCTTGCCCACTTCCCCAAAACAGGACCAGCCTGTGCTGAGCAAGATCTAGAACTCTGCCAGAAATGTGTCATTTTCCCATAAGATGGGGAACAGGCTGGTGGGGCCATGGGGTGCCATCTCTCCACCCAGACAAGTCAGCCAGGACAGACTCCAGTGCCCCATTCCCTCAGCTTCCAGTGCAGGTGTGCACTGGCCTCTGCATTGCGCCACCAGTGCCATCTCAGCCCACGTTCCTGACAGGAAGCCCACAGCCCTGGCCACCCTAGGTATCGACCCAGTAGTTCTGGGCCCAGAGGCTTCTGGAGGGTCAGCCTGGTTCGGCTCCCCTCGGGGCTCCCCACTGTGCTGCTTGGTCCCCTGCCCTGCTGTCCTCAGGGGGCGTTCATTGCGGAGGGCCAGAAAGGGGCATGGGGCTGCCTGCCAACCTGAAGCTCAGGGGGATTTTGGTCTTTTTGTCTTTAAAAAAAAAATTATTTGAAAAGCAGAGAGGGAGAGAAAGGCATCTTTCATCTGCTGGTTTATTCCCCCAGATGGCTGCCAAGGGCCAAAGCCAGGAGCTAAGAATTCCACCCAGGTTTCCCACGTGAGCTGGCAGGAGCCCATGCACTCGGCCGTCTTCTTCCCAGGTGCACTAGCAGGGAGCTGGACTGGAAGCAGGGCAGGCAGGGCGCAAACCAGGGTGTCCCAACTGCGCCACAGCACTGGCCCCCGGAGCTGAGCTTGGAGGCTTCCTTGGCTGGGGCTGGTGAAGGCAAAGAGCTGCCCTCCCCCAAGATCTTGTCCTATTGGGCCATGCCAGTTGGCTGTTTGCCATCCAGGCCACACTGGTGTGAGCCTGGCAGCCCATGAAGGTGTTTCGCCTTCACGTTGGTAGGGGCCCACAGCCATCAGCCTCTTTCTCACCTCTCCCCCGTCCCCCCAGGGCCAAGATCCTCTTCCTGCTTCAGCTGCTGACCGACCACGTCCCTGGCATCGGCCTGGTAGCAAGTAAGCCTCGGGGCAGGCTGGGGTGTGTGTTGCATCACCTCTCTGCCTGCTGCTTCACTTTGCAATGTACCTGGCACAGTTGGGAGAGGCGGCCCAGACGTCAGGGCTGGGAAGGCAGCAGCGCCCTGGCGTGGGCCAGGGTACCATGTAGAGCTGTGGGTGTTGGAAGGTGGGCAGGTTGTCGGACTGCATCTGGGTGTCTGCTACCTGCTTCAGCGTTCTGGAACGATGCAGAAATATCTGTGGTGGGGAGGAGGGGAGCTTGCTGCACCAGGGACTTGGCCTTGGTCAGAACCTGCAGGTCCTTGGTGGGGTGCCATGCCTGTGTGGCCTCCCTCGGGCTGGTGCCGAGAGAATCTGCCGGCTCTACCATACCAGTGTGAGCAGCTGCGAGCGGCCCAAGTGGGAGCTTGTGGCACAGCCAGGCCCGGAGCCCTCACTTCTCCCTCTCTCTCTCGGCAGGGCCACTCATGGAGTACTTGCCCACCTGGCAGAAAATCTACTTTTACAGCTGGGGCTGACAGGTTCCGGGGCAGCGACGGCCAAGGGCGGCCTGCACTGCTGCTCCCGGCCAGGGGTGCCCTGGGGCCCTCTTCCCTAATAAAACTGACTGGCTCTGTCCAAGCATGTGGCCTCTCTGTGCCCACTGCCCAAGGCTCCAGGCCCCTCCCGCGGCCAGCCTCTGCACACATGCCCACTCACCAGCAGCACTGCCAGCCCCTGCTAACCCCATCCTGCGCTGTGGAGATGGGGTCACTGGTGGCAGCCACAGGAGTCAGCAAACTTCTCTCGTTGCTCCCTGCTGATGGACGGGCTGAGCCGGGGTGATGGAGGACGATAGCCCAGCCTGCTTTGTGGCCTGGGCCTGTGCCTGCCCCAGCCTCTGCAGGGCCCAGCTGCCCTGAGGTGGTGCAACCCAGCTCCAGGGCATTGACTGTAAGCCCGGAGTCCCCAGTTGTGAGTAAAAGGGTCTCCCTGCCCCTAGGGAAGGGGTGACCGGGTTCAACATGGAGGAGAGGGGAACCCGAAAGGCTCTGAGACAAAGTGGGGTGCACAATTGGGGCTTGTGCAACTCAGGGACTCCCGAGTGCCACACCTGCCTGGATCTGTGCCAGCCTCTGCAAGAGGACAGTCCAGGACTGTGGGCCAGAGGCCTGAGGTGGCTGGTGGGCTGCCCCGACATCCTGGAGGGCTTTGGCTGTACTTCTGTTCCCTGGGCCTCACCTCTTTCCAAGGGTCCTGGGCCAAAGAATGAACACAGGGACCTCAGGCCAGGGCCAAGGGCAAACTGGCTGTCTGGAGCAGGGCTCTCGTGACCTTCAGCTTCGTTAAGTAGTGCTCTGGTCTCTTGCTCCATCCAGGCCCTGTGCCATGTGCTGTGGGTCAGGAGTGAGCAAGGCCTGGCTCCTTGCCCCCAAGCTCTCCCAACTGCATGGTGACACCTGCACACAGGCCCTGGGGCTGCCATAGTCTCCCAGGTGTGTGGAAAGCCATCTAGCTGGGGTGGGCAAGCTAGGCTGCCAGCCTCCTGCATTGATGCCAGGAGGTGAGTGGAACTCCTTCGTAGGCCCAGATTTGTGGGTAGTGCCAGGCAGCCAGGGTTGATTGCTGTGCTCAGGGAACAGCAAATAGCTTGGTGTGGGGGCCTATGGATGGAGAGGAAGGCCAAACTCGGGCAAGCAATCACCTGGCCTGCAGGGGGCGCCCAAGAACTCATGGAATGTATCTTCGGGGGGGGAAAAAACCATGCATGGATCTCAAAAAATTTCTGAACCAAAATAAACATCTTTTAATTCCATTTTCAATAAAGTTCTTCAAGCGCCTTCATGTGGGAGGCAGTGGGGAAGGGCCCTACAATTTTAGACTTCCAGCAGGTCTCAGCAAGAGGCAGGCAGATGGTAGGCAAGGTGTATGAAGGACCAGAGACTTATGGTAAATACACAGGACTTCAGGTTCCTGGCAGGGTGAACCTTGGAGGCGGTCCAGGAACCCAAGGCAGGTCCGGGAGATGAGGTGGCTCCAGGACACACAGCGGGTACGCAGGCTGAGGGCACGGTCGGCCTTTGGGATCCCCAGGATCTGGAGCAGGAATGAGGCCTCTTGGGAGCCAGGGCTGTAGTTCCAAGAGGGGCTAGGACCAGGTGCATGGCCCAGCAGTGAAGACGCCTTGTCCCCGACCAAGAGTGCCTGGGTTTGCGCCCTGGCTCTGCTCCCAATGCCGGCTTCCAGCTGGTGACCAGCCTGTGAGAGGCCATGACTGGCAGCCCTCATGGTCAAGTCCCCACTGCCCACAGGCAGAACAGACCATCAGTTCTCAGCGCCTGTCCTTGCCCTAGCCCAGCCCTGCCATTGTGTACCTTCCGGGAAGCCAGAAGAGCGAGCTCTCAAAAATTAAATAATAGAGATGGGGGGAGGGTGGCACTGCAGCAGCTAGCAGGTTCCTTTCTGAAGCCACTGGATTCCTGTGGCCGCAAGTGCACTGGTTCTCACACCACAGTCCAAATGCGGCCAGGGAATTTGTTTTACACTAGTTTATATACTCAAAAGGCAGAGAGACAAAGGGCTCGGATCCACCAGTTCCCTCACTCCCCAGTGGCCTGCAACAGCCCAATAACTCAATCCGGGTGTCCCATGTGGGTGCCTCCAGGGTGTGCGTTGGGAAGCAGGGACCAGGCAGAGGGCTGTGAGACAAACCCAGGCACTCCAACAGGGGATGGCATCATAGCCAGGCACCGTTTAAGGCTCTGTGGTGGCAGGAGATGAGAGCCTGGCATGTGTGCCCGCTCAGTGGGCCAACTGGGCTACACAGCACTGAGTCAGGAAGCAGCATGCCTGTAGAGGGGTCCCCTCCAACTTCCTACCATGGGGCCTGTCCACCAACCCTGCCGAGCACCCACCGGGTGTCCAGGGGGCCAGGGCATGTGCAGTGCCTGGAAGTGTCCCCCACTTTGTCCTCCCAAGGAGCCAGAGCTTGGCCATCTCACCTGGAAACCTTTGCAGCTTCCAGTGGGGCAAGGTCTGTCTTGCCCTAACCTGGAGGGGGGACAAGGTCCCCTGGAAGCGCAATGTGTGTGGCCTGTGCAGCTCCCTGCTGGTGGGGGGCCTGACTGCTCTAGGCCCTCCAGCTGGCAGGACGTTGCTGGGGTCACGGACAGGAGACACAGGGAAGGCGGTGGCTCCATGGATGGTGAGCACAGTGACCCTGGCTGTGGCTTCTCCTGGGTGTCAGACCTTAACCACACGCTACACATGACCTCACAGGTCGGGGAGAGAGACCCACAGAGACTAGTGAGTCTGGCTGGCGGGAGGCAAGGTCAGGGTCTGAGCTGACATCAGACCCCACAGACAGTACCCTTCACGCCTGGGAAATGGCAAAAGAACAGGGGCTGGCCTCTGGCCTTGGTCACAGCAAAGGAAACCCAGACGTCAGCCTGGAGGAGGTGGTGTTAGGCCTTGCCGCACAGCACAGAGGGGCCGACTCCGGGCCCTGGAACCATTCCCTTTGTGAGGCGGCCCAGGGAGCTGGGCTGGCAGTTCCGTGGTAGAGTGGGGGAGGGAGCAGCAGGGGAGGGAGATGGTGCTCACCATGCTGGGAGCACTGTACCCCAGGGCTGGCTTTAGCCTCTTCCTCTTCTACCTCATCCTGGCAGCTGCGCTGCTGCGCCCCCAGCCTCTGCGGTAAGCCTAGCGGGGAGGCCTGGAGCGGTGGGGAGTAGCGCTTGGGGCCCCATCCTTCTCCTGCACAGGGAGGTGCTGGTGGCCTTGGGCCAGGGCCCAGTGTCCCGCTCTCCCCACCCCCACAGGTCTCCGCGATCTGTCCCCGAGGACTTCTCTGCGCCCCTGGAGCTCCCTCAGCCACTCTCGGGCCTGGTGGACGGTAATACCTCCACGCTGTCCCCAAGGGGGGCCCTCAGTGCCTCTCGGTCTCCCTCCTGCCCTCACACCCAATCTCGACTTCAGCCGCCATGCCACCCACACCCTCTTCCTTTCCTCTTTAGACTATGGGGTCCGACCCAAGCACCCCTGGCCTGGGGGGCCTCGGCCCCTGCTCTCCCAGGCCCAGCAGCGCAAGCGCGATGGGCCCGACATGGCCGAATACTACGATGCAGCCCTGTGATGTGAATCCCTCATAAAGCTATTCTATGCAACAGTGTCCGTGGGCAGCTCTCCTGGCTGTAGGTCCCAGCGGAGGGTGGGAGGGGGCTGCGCGCGCACACACACCTGCTGAGGTCCAGACAGGAAGTGGCACTTTAATAGTTGTGGCCAAGGCGAAAGGACCAAGATAGGGCTCTGGGCCAGTTGGGAGGCCGTCCTTTCCTGCCAGCCTACACCGCCCTGTCGCTCCCTGTTGCAGCATCCCATCCCTGGGGGTGGGTGGCAGGGGTCACAGCCTGCACGTGGGGGTAGTATGGGGGGAGGGCCTGGCATGCCAGGAAGGCTGGAGGTGGCACCTGGCGAGAGGTCCCCATGGGCCACAGAGCACACAGCAGGGACTTCACCTCCACCTGTGGCCATTTCTGTCCTGGAAAAGTCCTCAGAAGGCAGCTGGGCCCAGCCTGAGCATGGGGCTCTTCGGAGGGGGTCAGGGATGGGGGAGGCGGTGCACTCGCAGGGTGACCCGGCCCTTGTCAAGGCGGGAGCCGCAAGCCCCTGGCAGAGGGAGGCAGGCTCCGAGTGGTCGCCCTCCCTGCCCAGCCCTGCTCCAACCCTGTCCCCTTCCAGTTTCCAGCAGCCAGCGCTGCCCTCCACAGCCAAACGCAGTCCCGTATGTTACAGCACACCACCTGCCCCACCCTGGGCCGACAGCCCCACCTCCCCGGGCTCCGCTGCTGGGCGTGGCGAGTTCCGTATCACTTTCTCAGATGGCAGCTGTCCCAGCTGGTGGCCACATGGGCTACTCCAGGTAGATGTCCTCCGTGGGGCAGGTGTATTCCACAAACTGCTTGTAGAACTGCTGGAAGGCTCTCCTGGAAGACAAGACCCGGATGACAGGAGGGGCATGGTAGAGGGAGAAGCGGGTGTGCTCCCAGGAACTGCCAAACCAGAGCTTGAGGGTGCAGGCTGGGGTTCTACCTGTCCCACCACAGCCCAAGGCGCCCCCTCACTTCCTGGTCTCTACAGAACTGCAGCACCCATGGGAGACAGCTGCCTAGGGAAGCGTGCAGCACTAAAAAGTGGGGAGTGCTGCTCTGTTCAGGACTCCTGTGGCAGGGTCTGCAGTTGGGGTTCCAGGAAGCCCACACCCGACTGCGTACCCCACGGATTCTGCCAGGGCTTTAGTGGAGTCTTCAGACACAAAGACGTGGCAGGCAAACCGGTGGTCAGCTGGGTGCTTGGTGATGAACCCAAAGTACCTGCAGAAGGACAAGCCTAGCTGGGGGCCGCTCAGTCCCACAAGCGCCCCCTGGCGGCCCCAGACAACGCCTGGCGCCCCAAGCCCTGCCCCTCCCCTTACTTGTTGTTCTTTGGATGGTATCCACAGAAAGAGATGTTCTTTAACTGGAAAAAGTGGCTACATTTATTCCCCTGTGGGAGAAAGAGGGAAAAGCAAGAGAGTGGTCACACAGCCCCCAGGGGGCACAACCTCATGGGCGAGGTGCACCTGCCCACCTCCAGTCCACAGGCAAGCTGGTAGGAGGGGAGAGCGGCTCGGGGCATCACCTGGGCCTCCGGGGAGTCGTCAGCCTTGACGCCAATCTTGACGCCCCGTACACTGATCTCGAGGACGCAGCTGGAGGGAGGGTTCAAGTGCACGGTGAGCCGGCGAGTGGTGGCGATCTGTGTGTGGGACATGAAGGGGACTATCAGGTACTGTGTGTCCACTCCTCTGCCCACCTTTCCTGTCCCAGGGAGCCCCTGAAGCCTTCCCTGCCTCCAGACAGCAGAGTCCCTCTCCCCACAGGTGACACGGGGTGGCGCTGGCAGCAGGAGCCGGGTACCTTTTGCATAGCAGCACAGAGGACGTCATTGCCCTTGTGATAGGGAACCTGGACTGAGCCCAGGAACTTGACCCGGAACTGGTCTACCCAGTCGCTGTTTTTGGCCAGGGCTGGAAGGCAAGCAGCAAGTGAGGAACCACAGAGGGGGAGGATGAGGCACAGCGCAGAGGGACCGGGCCAGCAGGGGGAGCCACCATCCCAGGAAGTCACCTGGCCTGCGGGTGCCCACCTTAGCTTGCAAACGGAGCCAAGGTCAACCCTGCTTGGCAGGACCATATTCATTGGCAGGGAAGTGGGCAGACTCAGGGGCTGCCAGCCCAGGGCACGGCAGGGGAGGGGGCAAGCCGCTACCTGCCATGTGTTCCGGCTCCTTGGTGACCTCGATGGCATAGTAGGCGGGAAACACGCCGCGGGCCCCAGTGCGCATGTTGTAAGCCTCGTACCAGTAGTCTTCCGCTTGCAGCTCCACCAGCAGAGGGTCGTCCACCTCTAGCTCAAGTTCATCTTCGTGTCGAGGCACGAACCTGTCCTCAGCGAGGGACCTGTCACTCAGTCTTTGCTCCAGTTGCCCGACCAGGCCCACCCCGTGAACACATCTTTAGTTCAGCCAGCTCCCAGGGGAAGCCCAATGCCACCCAGGCAGGCATACGCCACTGAGGGTCACTTCTGGCCCCTTGTAAAGCTGAGAGGCCTCAGGCTCCAGAACTCGTCTCTGTGTGGGCACTGCGGGGCTACCATGCGCCACAGGCCTTGGTTTCCACACTCCGGACCAAGTGTAGGGTCTGGGGATGGAGTAGATGAGGGATGCGCCCCCCCCGGGTCTGCTGCCTGTGGGCAGGTGCTCACCTGAATATGGCCCTGTGCGTCTGCTCCTGCTCCACTCCGTTGATGACACAGGAGAACAGCCCGAAGGACTCGGCACCTGCGGGGAGCACGCACGGTTGGAGGAGGCTGCCCCAGTGCTGGGGCTGGTGGGCTAAAAGAGGCAGGTAGGAGAGCTCTATCCTGGGTCACCCGGAAAGCTCCCCCTGCCCCTGGTCCGGTTTCCTGACTCACTGGAAGAACGGGAGCGACCGCTCATGAAGACGTTCAGGAACTTCTTGGAGAAGTGGACGTCAGGCTCATCCGGCGTAGAGTCCTCCGAGAGGCACGCCGGGGGCCTCGGCCGAGGTGCCTCCTCGTACTCCTCGCCGATGGCCGACTCGTAGGGCGAGGAGGCGGAGGCGCAGTTGTCATAGACGGTGGCCGAGTCACTCTCATCACTGTAGTCGCCGAAGCACGGTCGCAGGCTCACCAGCTCTAGCTGAGCGTGCTCATCCACCACCAGCGTGTACTTGACCGAGTCGTAGGACAGGGCGCTCGTGTCCGAGCTCAGGGAGGCCCGTGGCGGCGGTGGTGGTGGCTCCCCCCGGCTGCCCCGCCACCCTCCTCCAGGTGGCTCAGCCCGCTCTGGGGACGACAAGCAATCAAAGCCCTCATCCTCCTCGCTGATGGAAGGGTGCGGCCGGCCTGCCGTGGAGGGGTAGGCAGCAGGGTCTGGGTCAGAGCTGACCGACATCCGGCTCTCGGCGGGCGGCAGGAAGCCAGAAGCTGGCTCCGTGGGCTCCGGTGGCCTCTGCACTGGTGTCAGGTAGATCTCCTCGGTGGCCTCTAGCCGCACGTCAGCCTGGTAGTGGATCCGCTCCCGATGAGAGTGGCCCCGGCCTCCGGGGGGCACAGTGGCGGTGGAGCCGCCTGGGGGGGCCATCTGGGTGGCAGCGCTGCGGCGGCACGGGCTGTCGGTGGAGGTGCCCCGGTCCTTGGTGGGGGCAGGGCTGCCCGGGGGTGGCAGCTCGTCGCTGAGGCAGATGTGTTCGTGCGGCGGGGTCTGCTCCCCTGAAGGGCAGGCAGGACAGCACTGAGCACAGCTGCCCTCATCCAAGACCCCCAGGCAGGTCCCTGCTCTGGGACCTGACCCTCAAAAGCTGTTGCACCAGGCTGGTTTGCTTTCTGCAGCCAGGACTAGGTATGGGAGAAGATCTGACTCACCTGTCTTCAGGGGCGATGACGAGCGAGACACGCGATCCTGCCAACTGTGCTTTTTGCCCAGAGAGTTGTTATTCAGCGTGTCCTGTGTGGGGAACAAAGAGCCCTTGTGATGGGAGCTGGTCAGCAGTGCCCGGCACAGGGAGGCCCTGGCCCTGCCCCCATCCAGCCTCCCCTGCAGCAGGCAGGAGGGGTGGCGGGTCCCAGCCCTTCCGCTGGCACTGCAGGGAAGTGTCTGCCCCTCAGGCAGATGCTCCCATCAGCGGGGCAAAGGGGGTGATACGAGGCTGGGGGGGTGCATTAAGGCTTACATGGGAGATGGCCTGGTAGTGGAGCAGGTAACTCACACCCTGGGGCCTGGAAGCCATGGCCAGCGAGGGGCCAGGGTGTTCTGAGCTGGCTCCAGGCCACAGGGCCCCAGCTCCCCTGCCCCCCACACACATAGGAGCACACACCCCAGGGATGGCAGATGGCCACTGTCTGCAGCCTTCTTCCTGGTCCTCCTGGGCTGCCTGCCCCCCATCCTCAACCCCACCTCACCCCCAGGGCACTCCACATACAAGGCTTTGCCCTCCCCCATCCCTGGACTGGGCTCCTGGACCAAGAACCCACCCCCTCACTGCACACCGACTGCGGCATACAGAGAGACAAAGGGCCCCCAGCCAGCACTCCCCACACTATTCAACTCTCCTTGGCTTCCAGCCCACCCAGCCAGGGGCCCTGAGCCCCAACTCGCCATCCCCTCCCCTCCATTCCTCCTCTCTGGGCAGACTTCAAACTGGCTGGTTCCCGCCCCATCTCCTCCACAACTTTATAGGCCTTGCCCTGGGCAGGCCACTTGCACTCGGGGAGCTCCAAACGTCATCGCCTGTGACCCCAAGCCCCACCCCCTTGCAACCTTTCAACGCCCGAGTTCTCTGGGTCCCCTACTTCTCTCCTCCCGGCCCCATCCACCCCTGCACGCCTTCACTCTGTCTCCTCAAACCTCCACTGCCAGCTAGTTCACCACACGGACCCACCCGTTCCTCGGAGCCCACCTCCGCAGCAGGAGGCGCCCTCTGCACCCCACGCCTCCCCTGCCAGCCCCGCCCCCGGCGCCTCACCTGAGACCGCGGCACCTGCGGGAACAGGTTGAGCGTGGTGGGCCGCTTGG